ATATGGTGTCCCGAAATCTCGTAGGCATACTTACCGTCATGGACTAGAGTCGTCATACTGTATTGGTCTTGCGCCAGGGATGCAAGGTGAGGCAGATCAAATGTGCTGATTTGCGATAAAGGATGTTACAAACGAACAAAATAATAAAGACAATTTCAAGGTTTAAATACATGGACCATGGCAGCAGAGGCGATGAAATAACTGCATTTCCACGATTCTAGCAACAAAATACGACATGATTGGTCAGAGTTGATATTTCCACTAGGTTCAATAGTGTTGAATCACATCTCCCCACCATCAACTTTGACCAAGACAATGAAGAACTGGCTATCAAAGAGCTCGTGATGCACAGAACCCCCCAAATTCCCCTCCCTTTCATGACAAGCTACTCGGGTCTTGCCAAAGGTATTTCGGCACGAAAGGTCGGTTCACCACTCGCTTTCAGGACTGTAGCGACGCCGGCATAAAGTTCACGAAACACACGTTCGCGGCTCCACAACAATAGCGCTTGTTCATTACAGCGCTGTACGAGAAGATCGTTCTCAACTTCCAGCCACTCGTTACGCTCTCGGAGCTCCTGCTGTTCTCCATGCAGATGGATCTTGTTGGCGGATTTCACGACATAGCAGTCCCAAAGAAAAAAGTAAAAGTCGAGAAGTTTGAGAGCGGACATGGCAAGCTCCGGCTGACTGCGCATAATCTGCATGAGCTGGGTTGCCAGGAGACCGGCCGGGTTGACGGAAGCCTGTGAGTACTTAGTGTCGTTCATTAGAGTAGCTGGCAGGAAAGACTGACCTTGGGCATTATCGTTGTATGACCTGCGTCTGGCCGGAAGTCTTCTACATAGACATCATCCGTTGGCTGTTCGGATAGCCGGCGCTGCCTTTTGGCGGGTCGAGTCGCAGATGAAGGAGAAGTTGGGTGATCCATTAGATTGCCTGGGTGAATAAAAGTAAGCCGCAGCGGAGTATTTATACAAGCGCAGGGAACTCAATCATCTACAGTATGGAGTAGTGAGACGACCGCTAAGTGGTAAAATTTCAACAATTCAGGTGTCATCAGCAAACAGTTGATCAATCACCTGTTGATCCTACATGATGGGCACAGCAAGAAATGAAGTCATAAAAAAGAGATGCGCAAATTCGAATAGTTACTATGTCTCATTGAATGCAAAGACAAAAACAGTGTAGGTGAACAATCCATCTCTCCACTTCAACATCTCCACTTCAACATGTTTGAATTTTGCTCAGAGGTTTGCTGCGCCCGCTCATTTGACCGGTCTCCGGCTCTACTTTAGGCCTACCTGAAGTGCACCAAATCTGCACCGAGGTGAGCGGGGCAGCTTTGGAACACCGGCATCACCGATCTTGGTCAGAATCAACTTTCGAATAAGGCCACTGTTTGCAGTGTGAAGCGCCGCAAGCATACTCAACCGCGACAATCGCCCATCCTCCAGTAGCACATCGACTATTTCTAGGTGCGCTCTTTGTGCTGCCAGGAACAGAGGCCCTTGGCGCCACCGATTTTCGAGATTGGGATCGATCTGATCATGGAGTAGCAGAGCCCGTATCAGTGCCGGACTGCCATCCCGCGCGGCGATGCAGAGTGCTGTGTCATGGCTCGTCATCGTTTTCCGATTGATCTGCAGACGGCCGCCCTGCTGAGCCAAGAGGCACACGGCTTCCAGCTGCCCGCGTTCTACCGCCTGACAGATTGGCAGATGGCCCAGGCCGCTGGCATTGATGTCTACCCGTCCCGTGTGCAGCAGCATCTTCATCGCATCAAGGCGTCCGTGAGCACACGCGAGAGCAAAAGGCGACTGGCCCCCGGCGCAGCGAGCGAAGTCGATCCCAGGCACAATCAGAAGACGCTGCAGTGCCGCCGTGTCCGGTTTCAGCACAGCATGATGAAGGGAAGTCGAGGGTGCTTGAAAGTCACCGTGTCCCCCGATGAAATTGATGTCAACAAGCGGCTCTTTCAGAAGTCTGTCGGTCACCGCGTCGTATGAGAGGTGTGTAGACAGCCAGAGTGGCGTGTTGCCTTTCATGTCTTTGCAGTTTACCCGGACTCGCGGGTGGCTGAGCAACACATCTATGGCTTCTCGGCTTCCACTCAGAACCGCCAAATGAAGCGGCGTGTTGCCATCCTGATCGTAGGCTTCCAGGTTGGTGCATTTTTGTTTCAGCAGCAGCCGTATAGCATCCATGGAACCGTGAGATACGGCTTGATGAAGGGGCAGCTCATCGTGATAGATGAGATCAACATCAAAACTGTACCCGGAGTCAGTGTTCTTGATAAATGTTCTCTTCATGGAAGGCCTGTTGATGCGCCATGCCCAATCCAAGGGTGAGTGGCCGTGATTGTCTTTGGCTTCCGGGCTGCTGTCCAGAAAAAGCAAGAGCTGCACAAGTGTGATTCTTCCTGCCCAGACTGCTAGATGGAGAGCCGTTCGACCATGTCTGTGTCTCAGATCTAGCTCGAGGGCTGGGCAGGCATGTGCCATTTCTAGAACCGTCCGGCATGTGCCGTATTTGATGGCATACCACAATGCGCTATTCTGGGCCTGATTCTGGAGGTTGATGTCGACCCCTGGCGTTTTCAACAAGACCTTCAGCACATCGGTAGCACCGTGCTTTAATGCTCTCATGATTGAAGTTTGCCCGCGGAAAAAAGCATTTACGTCGGCATGATAGCTGAGCATGGCCTTTGCCAAAGATACGTTGTTGGTCTTGGCTGCGAAGTGCAACAAATTGCTGTTCTGGTACTGGATATTATGTTTGAACAAGGTGGGTTGCAGCCGGAGGTGCAGGTTTCTGCATGATTTTCCCATAGCGAAGATTGCCTTGCCATCCAGAAATGCTGCAATCACCCCCAATATTTCATTTGGCAAGCCTCGTATATGCGCCTGTAGTTGTAGATTAGTATCGGAGCCTAGCGTATCAAAGAAGCCGATGCACTAACCATGACGAGAAGTTTATCGCGGAGAGACGAAGATCTGGATGTGAAGCTGGAAAAGCTGCTTTGGTGGATAGAGAGCACGCTTTATATGGAGTGTCTTGTGATCCGCCTTCCTCACAGGGCATATGCCCATCCAAAGTTCTAGGGGGCAATTGACAGCCCCGCTGGTCGATAGCGATGGTGGAGAGTAAAGCCTCATAGGATGTGGTCGCGTAGGCCCTCAAACCCGTCTTGGGGGTCCCGGACTCATTACCAGAGCTCCTAGGAGCAGATTGCGTCCCAGGAGCACCCGACCTGTCTCCAGGAACACGCGAAGAGCTCCTGGACAACAGCCTTTCTGCCTTGAACACCATTAAGATATCCCCGGCATGCCATAGTGATTGTGAGCTGGCGTATTCAAACGCCAGGCGGGGATCGAGTTCAAAGTTCCAAGTCGTATCGTGATGCACATTCTCACCTTGAGCATAATCCACGGCGAACGACATCACCCAGACGTCACTGATCAGCAACCACCCTGCCAGGAACATGCCCTCAGAATGGAATGATCTGTGGCGTGACCTACCATCCGCTGCCTTGATGACTGGTATGTGGAATACTTAGAAAACCTATAGATGATGAGCGCTGCCGAGTCTAATCATGATATCTATCGACAAGTGAGCCCGAAGCGCCTGCTTCTCTACCCAGACTTGGTAGTCTTCGCACGACTGGGACCCACTGTGACATCGTATTGGATGACTTGGTCAACGCAGCACCTGTTTCGGGATCACAGGAAAGGGCACAGCCAGCAAGAATCCAAGGGGAGCAAAGAGCATCACCAAAGGCCATCAAAATGACCGACCTTTCGAGGACCAAATTTGATCTGACGGACCTGCACTCTTCACTCTGCGAAATTGCGAAACACTTCCTCTACAAGCGATGGCATCGGGAAAAGCAGGCTGGCCGGTTAGCTCAGCGGTGGTACGAAGCCGCGATTCACCACCAAGCCCAGGCGTATGAGGATCCCGACGCTGCCCCTCCGCTGGCAGATTCACTGCCCGTTCTGCACCAGACACATTCTATTTCCAGAGAAGCCGATGAAGAGTCCGATTGGACCCTCCAAGAATCTCTTCAACACAGCGATTGGGACGTTTCACCCGCCGGCTCCCTGAGTGATCCTGATCTAGTCAATCACGGCCAACCATGGGCTGCTCCCTATATCACGACTGCGATGCTGCGAGTAAACAGTGTTCCTTGGCACGTGTCGCCGGCCCAGCCAGCGATGCTTCCGTTCGTCACGAACATCTGGGCGGGTGTGCAAGATGTGACGCTCCACAGCGTCACTCCCAGTGACGAAGTTGACAGCATCCACTGCATGTTCTGTTTGGCCGAGGATGGCGATCAAGTCGATGAACGCGTGGTTTTGCGGTGCGTCGAGTGCAGGGGGCTATCGCACCTGGTCTGTACAGAGGAGTGGTTGGGAAAGCGCGATACAGGACATGGTACTTCATGCTGCATCTGGTAAGTATCTCACCGGAGTATTTAAATTGGGAAATGCTGATCACGCGTAGTCGAACCGAGACCGCCTTGGACGCCCTCTACCGCCCGCCACGGGACCCCTCGCCTCGAGCCGCAGAACGCTCCGAAGAAACCGTCGCGACGGATCTTCACGACAGAGCTGTTGACATGGACGCCACGCAGCCACGGATCGACCCTGCTTGGACGGGAGTATCACCTCCTCAGCCAGCCGGGACAAGGCAGCGTCGCCGAACCTCCGCGGCACCGGGCGCAACACATTCTCCCCGCCGATCAACTCGACTACAAAGAGAGTCTCCCGTGACAGAAAGCTCTCACGCCCCTTCCAGGCTTCGTCGGTCGGCCCGACTTCGTTTGTAGGTTTTGGAATGGTGGGAACAATCGGCATTGCAGGGTCGAAATTGGCAGTCATCTATGAAGTCATTGATGTTGAAGTCTAAGCAGTCTAAATTGTTTCAAAGCTAGATCAGAACGTACCTAAGCAATACGATTGTCATTATGGACGTGATACATCTAGCTAATAAGTTTCTTCAAGTACGCGAAACCTTCAGCCGTTTGCACCATTCATGATATGACATGCCACTCGTATGAGTTGGGACTGAGCTAGTGGGCACCACGACAGATTCTTCATGTCGAATACCGACAGAGCGAAGCACAGCAGGATCACATAATACCAGGCCGTCGTGCATGCTTGGGCCAGGGATCGACAGCTTGTCCGACGGCAGGCCGTAGATCGCCGACCGTTCATTCAAGCAGATCATCGCGTAGTATGCAGTGGGGTGGTCCAATTCGGCAAAAACGCACCATCGAAGCGTTCGAGGAACAATTTCCTGGCAGCATCCGCATGCTGCGAATGTGGTCTCTGTCGACGCTTCGGAGCTTAGCTCGATCTGATCACACATGACGGGTGGGACCGACTTGCTCGTTTCGGAACGAAGGAGCTCCGCGTCAGCGCGACAATGCTCTACATGAAGAATGACGTTGTATTCTGGCCCCTCTTCATCAAGACTTTGGATCGTTTCCGCTGCATTATCTTCCCAGGTGACAAGCAGACCGCCGGCATGAAGGCTGATTTGGATGTTGCTAGGGAACCATTTCAGCAGGCGTCTGATTTGGCGCATGATCCGTGACATTGGGGATGCTGCAAAGAGTGAAGGGATCGAGAGAGTCAGTAGTTCCTCCACAACATCTCGCCATGAAACGGGTGCATACTGGCTATCGATGGTCGTCGGAACCACATTGTGGCAGGAGGCCCCGTGGTCCACCCTGTCCAATTTCCACCATTGATGAGGGACTCTCAGGGTCTGGTCTGCAGCGTGGTAAAATACATCGAGTTTTCCGGCCATGTCTTCGACGTAGAGGACTTGCATTCCGCGGGGGACGTTCAAGACTGTCAAGCAGGCCCTAAACGCCCAGTTGATTGTCTTCGCAAAGGCCGTATCGGGTAAGGCCGGGATCACCGCATCTTTGCAACGTTGCTGTTGCTCCTCCTCGATCGTTCGGACGGGTGTCACCGAGCGAAGGAGCTGCCAGAAAGTCTCCGGAAGTGGGGTCGGCTTTTTGCCGGTGCATGCTCGGATCGCGTTCACAGTCTATCTCGAATTAGCATATGACTTCGGCCACGGAGGTTCGCACTGACCTGCAAACTGATATCCACACTGTGAAAGGAAAGCTTCTTTCTTGAGGCACGCAACAAATGCTCCCATATGCGGGTCTTGGTCGATGGCTCCAAAAGTCTTTCCGCTTGGTCCACATCGCCGAGGTGCGGATGGTTTCGGAGGAGGTTGACATAGCTTGGGAACAAGTCTTTCTCACGCAAAGATAACGCATACTCCCATATCTGCCGCACGAGGTCTGCCAGGTCGACCTGACTGATCAGTCCTTCTCGGTCTCGGCTAAACTTCCCACACGCGAAGTTGTAGCCATACATGAAAACCTTGCCGCCCACGGGATGCATGGCGAGCCGGACCCTATGCAGGAACAGCTGACCAGAGTGCTTGGGATCGAGCAGCAAATCTCCCTGAGGGGTCTGTACCACCGAGGTGGGCGAGACGAGTCCGTGAATGTCGAGAGTGACTCGTAACCATCGCAGGAAGGTCTTGGGTGACACCGGTCGGCTTTGATTGCTCCGGCCAGCGCCAATCACCACGGCGACATCGCGTTCTATACGGAAGCGCAGGTTAGCCATGTCATCTGCGGCTGCTGGCCAGTCGGTACGAGATATCTTACGTGCTGCCGTGATGACACAGCGAAGAGACTGCTGCGGCCCATGCAGCCCAAATTTCCAATGGCAGTGACTTGCGGCGATGCTCATTTGGAACTGCTGTCGATTCATGGCTAACGCAGCGAGTTTGAGACCATCTCCGTGCGAACCACACAGTCGGTTGTCCCTGTCTCTGGTCGTGTGTCCCATGACGAGACACTCGATGGGCAGCCGGGCGCATGCATTAACGAGCATGACTTGACCGGTCTTTTTCTCGTACTTGATGAACCCCCGAGCGTGGGGCTCCGCGTGACCTTTCGGGGCCGAGGAACCTATGATGGCGAAGTGGTCGTGGTCGTCTTGAAAAGATAGCTTGAAGTCTCGTCGGTCGAGCTGGAATGTTTCCAGAATGGCATCTTTCCTACTTGGTGTCAGCAAATCTCTCAGCGGGCGGCTCGATACGTACCAGTTTTGATATAGCTCGCGGAAGGCATCGGTCGATTTCCAGTCTTTCACGTATGCAGGGGAGATTTCGAGCAGGACGGTCTGCCGTGTCGGCCGATCTGTGATGCCGGCGCAAGGAGTATCTGAGATTTTTCGGAGCTCGCCGTGAAGCTGTTTGCTTGCTTCATCGCCGATACAGCTCTCTGAATCCATGGGAAACGGCTGGTGGGTTTCAAGATCCTTTTTTGAGTGAGATACTGATTATTTATATGCCATTGGGATTATTATCGATCACCACTGGCGGTATTCTCTGGTGAAGAAAGTGGTGAGTTGAGTGGTGAAGCCATGGTGTTTAGTATTGCGAGACATATCTAGTTCCACAATGCCCACTTGCACGCATCGTGGATTTACAGATCACAAGGGTCACCACAGACATAAAACTTATTTACTCGATTGGTGGACACTCGATCCTAGATACACGGTGCCCGCAAGATCCTGTATCTAGTTGGATCGGCGTGTAGGCTTCTTTATCACTTCAATGAAGTCTGCAAAACGCTCGACAAGACTGGTCACTGTTTGTGGCGAAAGGAACATTCGGAAGTGTAAACGCGCATCCAAGCAGATCGACATATGCGCCCCAAGATAACTCAGCTACAAGGTCCGTCTTCCAAGTGACGTTGTTGCAATAGTGGAAACGGCTGGATCTGTTAGGTCAAACTCGTCACCAGCGCGCGATGGCCCTGTGAGTTGAGGTGGTGCGGATGTCTCTCATCTCCACAAGCTCGGCAAGGACGCAAGCCTTCATCCGAGATGTGCTTTCGAGCCAGAACCGGAGCTTTGCCTCCACAAGCCATGACCCTTGAGTCTCATCATTGATCATCGACAGAAAAAAATTGCCAAAGAACCCAGAACCGTCCTCGGCTTCCACCTCAAGCCTCGTCGGATCAACGGCCGCCGCCATCCAGATATATCCTATGGCGAGATTGAAGCAGGCTGCATTCACGTTGCATGCTGACACCAGCGTATTGAACAGGGGGCCGAAAGTGATTGCGGGAAGACCAATGCACACGTATGCCTTGGGGGCGCTTCGTCCTGCCCGTGCTGCTTCCCTCATCAAATCCGTGCCCTCGATTGACCTGGTGTCGATCACGACGGAGTCCGACACCCAATATTCGCTGGACCAGCTATACAAACCCGGCGGAGGGGCAGTAGCAACGGGATTCCACAATCGGAGCACCGTTTTCCTGATGATTGAGGTATTTTTTTCCCCTGCGACCCCAAGAATGATGAGTTTCCTGTCTTTCCCATCAGTCGCGCAAGCAATACCCAAGTGATAATCCGAGGGTTCCAGACTGTTCACTTTGGCTAGTGGAAGGACTGTAGTCATGCCGAACTCCACCGAAATGAAGACGCCTTCTTTGTCTGGCTTGTTGACCACAGTGTGGGTGGGTAAGGTAACACACTGCAGCATGGTATTGATACTCTGTCCGCAAAGCTTCAGCTGTTCCCACTTCCAGACGAGCTCTTCAGTCTTGGAGTAAATAAAGGGCGATTTTGGAACGGAGTGGGTCTGGGATGACGAGATACTAGATGTCAAAGATCTAAGATCAGTACCGCCACGATTTTTGCAGAAGGGAGAAAGAATGTGCCTTACTCGAGTGTTTGTCTCCGACTGAAACGTGACCTACGCGTTTGCATCTTGGGAGCGACGAGAGGAAGACTGGCATGAAGCATGAAGGAAGATAAATGAATGCTGCACTAATGCCTATGCTTTTGGATGTAGGACGGAGAGACTCATGCGAATACGTAATCATCAATGTCTCAACATGTAGGGACATCGTTGAACATTGAGATGACTAGAATATAAAATTGGACGAAGCCAGTCGCCGTCACATTGGAGCGTACTGGAAGAGACATGAGCTGCGAAGAATTGCAGTCCCGTGGTGGCAACAAAGATAGGAGAAAAGGAGAAAAGGTCCTGGGAGCAGGTGTGATCACCTTGGGAGCTGTTCACTAGATCCCTTTTCACAGATATACAATCAACTCGGGAAGAGAAAATTCACACACATCGCCACTACAATTGCAGATATTCGAGGACCATCGACTCGGCTCGACACCAGGCTCAACCAGGCTCAGGAAAAAGTACTTAAAATGAGACTTTGCCTGAGGTCCCTCTCAATTGTTGTTCTCACATGATCCCGTTCCACTACGCAAGACTCGCTCTATTCCTCAACCATCAACGTCTTCCGTCCTCGATATGGCTTTCAATACTAGATCCGCCATGCTTTGCATGCGCCTTACTATTCTCGTCCCCGCTATCATGTGGTTGGCCTTTGCGGGTCTCAGCTCGGCCATATCTCACTTTGCAATTATCCTCCGGGACCATGCGGAGTCAGATCTCATCTATACCAACCACGCTATACTGGGCCTTGCCTTTCAAAACCTGATGGAAAATATTCTCGTCGTTTCAGTCCTCATGGCCCTGATGTCAACATTGCTCTCCATCTTTGATATCGTCCTTGCGGTCCATCCTAGGTGGTTACATCAGAACGGCCAACGTCGAATATATTTCGAATGCATTCAGGTTGTGGTAGCGCTCCCTGCTGTCTCTGTCGGGGGATATATCGCGAGCTGCGTTCACGGGTCTCGATCTTCATTTGAGCTGTTGAACATTCACAGCCACTTGCCTTACTACGAACTCATGTATTACGGGAGCGTTGGGCAACCTGCATTTGGTTCCCTCCATAGAATTGAAACTGTTCACGCAGGATTCAGCTGTTCAACAGTGGAGAAAAAGGAATCGTCGATAGCAATTGCTCTGTGATGCACCTATCGACCGGGTTCGGTGCCACCTGAGTGCCACTGCTATTTCTGATCAAACTTATATGTTGCGCAGATACTCATTCGGTACAGCATTAGTGAAAACTACTGGCGAAAGCTCAATCAGTATGTATCTGGAGCAAGCATATTGATACGTTGCTCGAGACGTTTACCGTTTTGTTACCTCACGTTTGAAAGCACTGGATCGAGTATTGTTCTAGATACCTGCATGCCGTGGGTGCTCAAAGCCAAGAGTGAATGAATTGAGTCATGTATACCAGAGTAAATAGTGCTAAGAAGGCGTAAATTCTATGTTGTCATTTTCGCGCTGCAATGATCATAATCTATCGCATCCTAATATCTAGCCATAAAATATCTACCCATAAAGGAATTAGCTCTAACTCGTGCATGATGCGTGAATTTCCATTTTAAGATCACAAAATTCTATCTGACAGGCTCGCACCGGCTCCTATGCTTGAACTGTTCACATTTCCCTAGCATCACCAGCTCGCTCTCTCGCGCGCAGTGAGCTCAACATGGACCCATGGCGCATTTCGCTCATTTTTGGTGAGGTCCGATATATCCAATCTGGGTGAGAATTGAGACAGACCCAGTTCCAGCGCGGGTAGACCGTTTGACGAGGCTGTGGGGGAAGTGGTCGAGAGTCGTGTGGATGAAGTACTTCCAGGGCTCACGCCTCCCTCAGTCAAATCTGCACACGCCCCTCGTGACGCGTCTCTTGGACCAGCTTCAGATCTCACACTTCTATCCGGTGTGACAGATACCCATGGAAATATTTTGTCGAGCAGACTTATTTTGCTTGTTCCGCGCCAGTCCTCGGGCTCATAGTGAGATAGACTGGGCTGCGTGCTTGTCAACGACACGAGACGATTGAACACAGAGAACTCCAACTTCAGCTTGATGCTGTACACCACGGTCTTGAAGCTCACTTGGATGTAGTGTAGCTTGAACTCCGTAAGAAGAAGCAGGATGTTCAACAGGACGACAATGATGTTGATCGAGAGCAGATGGATGATGGCATTCCGTCCGTTGCGACCTCGGGTCTGAATCATGGGCTTGAGAGCTGGGACTGCTTCGTAGATGTAAACGCTGCAGATGATAAAATCCTGCACACAGAAGCCAGTGACTGGATGCGATCGTATATTGCGGCGGGTCGAGCGAAGCGTGCATCGCCTTGGTTCAGGCCAAAGAATAGGACGGTTATGGGGACATGAAGAATGAAAGAGTTCCCGACGATCATCCACAGCACCCACCGCACTCTTTCCATGTGGCGGACAACGAGATTCAGACGGGAATAGAGTACGACCGCCTGACCAGTGACCAGGGCGTACCAACCGATGATGAAAGGGATGGACGTAGAAAGGTTAGATGCTTGAGAGACAAAACGAGCCATGGCAGGCAGGGCATGCACAAGAATACCCCAAGACGCGACTTGCATGCTCCAGAAATAGAGACCGCTGTAGCGCTTGAATGTATCAAAGGTGACAATTGCCGTTTCGAAGGCATTGTATGCGCCGATCGCAAACATGGATACGACCTGAATAATTGAGACGTTCTTCATCAAAATAGCCCCGACGTCCGATGGTAGGCTGGTAATGATTGTATCCATGGATGACCAAAGACTTGTCGCAAACGTAAAAGAATATGAAACTTATGAGGTGGACATGGTGAGTAGACAAATTTTAAAGCCTACTGCGGCAAACATGTGACTTTCTTGCAATGAGATCACGGCATAGTAGCTGGGGGCTGCTTGGAATGATCTGACGAACTTTCAGATCTTATTGGGTCAATGGATGGCCGGGTCGCAGACTCATTGATAACGTAGAAGCTGGGACGAACACTAGGCGTAATTAGCCTCGATCCCTTTTGTCTTTCTACCAGGTTAGCCAGACAATGGCATTTTCTCGTGTGTCTGGAAGTCCGGATCCCGATGAAACGTTAGAGAAAGAAAAGTAAGATTCTCAGCTTCCATAGACTTTGAGTGGGGCTGTCTGAGAAGTTGGATGATACTCTCGTCAGACCATGGAAACGACCGGTCGCCAGGACAGCCTCAGGCGAGGAGGACGCGATTATCCATGGATGGGTGATCTGAAATTGACACCAAAAAAAGTCTTTGTGGCTGAGTATGTTCGAATTCAAGCTTCCAGACAGGAATAAACATTCGTGAAGAGCTGTCCTGTAATATACTCGTGCCCTTTCAACCGTCTATCCAAAAGCAATTTACTGGTGCTGGAAAACTCACAGGCGCAGGCAGAACCGTATCCCGTACAAGACACACCTGCGGGATTTAGAATAAGTCTGGGTATGGCACATATGTCTGGCCTACGACGCAGACCCTGACGTCGGAAGCCAATCAGAGTTTGAATTGTCCCCGAACTATTCATGTAAGCCCATTTCATCCTGCCCAACATGAACGTCCCTAAGTGAGCTGTGGTTCTAGACCGTAAAAAATTCAGGCCAAGAGGATGAACCACCAAGTGGGCAACTAGGGGGCTGGAAGAAGGTTCGATGCAGGAAAGATAGCTTCTAGATCTTTCCATCGACTGGATCGAAAGGACGGTTACCCTGGTAACGGAAAAGTAGAGAAGATCTTCCCTATGTGGAGTCATCCGTTACAGAGTGGATCGCGAATCACCTTCAAGGCATCAATTTGGGAGCAACATTAGTAGCGTTGTGCTCTGTGCTCCCAAAACACGAGTCACATGAGCCGTTTGTGTCAGAAGAGCAATCTAAATAAGCATGAATTGTGAAGGGACACTCAGTTACACATCTGGTAGTCGATCGGATCGTGATTAGTGAATTGAATGTCAATGCAGAGGTCCTTGGTTGGTCATTTCTTCGACACGGGACACGGGTCCGCGAGTCAGTGTTCCTAGTCTCAAGGTCCCACCGATATCTGTCTCGATCGGATCATGAGTCAAGTCTTACCAGGTCATTTCTGATTGGCGTCTTGCGCCAGGGTGTGATAGGAGCGTTGCAACCTTTTGCAATGGATGAACCATGATAAGTCCCACGGCGAATGGCATTCAGAACAAACTTCCCTATCGTGTTACCATGTAATTGGCCGCACTCAGTATTCTTGAGCCATACAAATATTAGGCTTCAAGCCATGTACTGTACCAAGAAAAGGGGTAATGACCTGGATTTCAATCTCACCCACGTGGATTATCTGGTATAAGCCATACTCAAAAAAGAAACATATGCACTAAATGGGTGCTTGTTAATCAACAGCTCTCTGTATGTATGCCGCAGAAAGTCATCCCTTCATGTGTGTATCAAGACTGTCTTTGGAGATCATTTTGAGACCCTAAGTTGATATACGCAGCAGCTATTTTTCTGCGGACCCATATCAGAAAATCAAAAACGCATCATGTCCACTTTAATGCGACATGTGGGTATTTTCTAGCACACCTACAGATTCTGGGTTGTCGGTGTGAATGCACATTCGTGACTTCCAATTCGGAAAATTGGTACCAATAGGGTTGCTTGGCAGGAACACATATTTTTTTGCTTCGTTGCAGATGATCTCCCAACGGACCCCCTAGTATTAAAGGCTATGCCTTCCCAACCTTTGACACAAAGGAATCTTCTGCTTTTCATCCTTCAACTAATACCCGCTTGTCAAAAGATAGCATGGCAAAGCAATCAAACTCCGCCCCAAAGAAGTCAGACATTAGAAGCAGGTCAAGAGTGACGCGTGCGAAGTCCCGAGTCAATTCTCCCAGCCCTACTCAGTCGGGTGTCTCTCAGTCTCGTGCAGACTCCTATTCTCTGCACTCAGTGGCGCTGCCGTCCAAAGTCCCAGTATGTTGATGGTGGTCTATTTTCGATTCCTGAATTCTTTAATTACCCTTCAATATGCTCAGTACTGCCGATACCATGCGCACCAGCTGATCATACTATTTAGGGGCATCTCGTGTCAAAGAGTGATCGGAAGAAGGAGTTCAGAGCTATTCATGCCAAGTGCCTTGATGAGATGGACAAAATTGGTCGGGAGCTTCAATTGGCCCTTGCGGAGAAAAACGACCACAAGGCCTGCGAGTCTCAGCTGTTGCAGAGAATGCAAGCCGCAGAAGCTGAAGCGAGTTCGAAATTGCAAAAGGCTATTGCGCGAGAAGAAGCCGCTCTGGCTGACAATGAAAGACTTCAGAACGAGATTCGTCAACTCCAGCAGCAGGTGGAATCGCTGAATGCTTCGACACAGGATAACGTCCCATGGAACGAAATCCAGCTGGTATTGCATCAAACACATGGCGAACTAGTCTCCGCGACCACGCGATACTGGAACCAGATCGACGCTCTCCAGAACCGCAGACTAGCATCCTATCTACCCGGCTCCGGAGTGATCCACGGAAATTGGACGGAGCAGTACGGCCCGCCAGGAAAATTGGGACACAATGCCCTTCCCGGGTTCTCCGCATCGGGTAATCCCCCGCTGAGCAATCTGCAACAACCTGGGGCAAACAATGTATTTGATTCGTTTGTGTGAAGCGTCATGATCTTCGGGTTCTTGTGGGTCCAATCCAGTTTAGTGGATTTGTATTTTGATGTCAGTAATCATGACGCACACAAGTACCTCGTGGTCGCATCGCCGTCTTCGGCCTACAGCTGCATACGATCAAGTTTAAATATTAGACGAATTCATACCTTGTCTTGAATGGAGAGTTTTCCAAAAAGTACATAGAATAGATGAGTGTTAAGAAGCAGTACTGTTCACCGGCAAGCGGGGTAGCCCGTCACCTGGGTCCGTCCGCTCGGTGGATCATGATCGCCGTCCATATTCCACCCCGCGCGGGTGCTTTATCCAATCACGGCAAGCTTTGGCTACTGATATACCAGATGGTGGACTACCCAGCCAATTTTAGCAAAGCCAAATGAAAGGCTTGCCACGGGTCATATGATTTGGAATTATTTGCCCAGAGCCCTGAATGTAACGTCGAAGATTTTTTGTTAATGTTCTGGACAATCATTTGCCAGGCCGGCCGCGCAGGGTTCCAAATCTTGCTTTCCAATTTGTCACTCTCCGAGTCGGCAATTTAAGTAAGTGGGTCGAATTGTAATGACCCACCGGCACATTGAAGCTTAAACGGCACGTGGAAATTGGTCCGTGCGCGTATTAGCCAAGTCAGATATGATTTCAGACCGGTGGCGGTTTTCGGTTTTTACTCCAGATTTCTTCATGCTTAGCGAATCTAATTTATAATCTACTCAGGCTGGCTATGCAGCTGGATGCTGGGGCAGGTAGTGGAAATTGAATGGTCACGTGAATCATGTAGCATTACTTTGGTAACAAAAAGTCAATCACATCATGATCCGAAAGCTCATTGGCAACGACCTGTTCACCCAGTCAATTATCCTCTTCCGTAGTGCTCTGGGTTTCCAAATTTATGTTCTCTATTGCTGCCTCCACAGCTACCATTTGTTGGACAATGTCGTCCAGATCACTGCAAATGGTTCCAGTCTTATCTGCAAGAGTGCTCAGCGAGCTCTGGATCGACCTAAAATGGTATCAGCGGTGGCGTTTCTCAGTATGGTATCCGACTTACTTCACTCGGGTGTCTAGTCTGATAGACGTATAATTAGCAGCGGGGTTAAAATTGATTTCACGGCAGAGTCAGACACTTACTCGGAGATACACTGGAAGGCGATCATGGTACGATTGTCTGGGGTTTCAGATTCTCTTCCAATTTTCTGCCCTCCTCCAATATCTTCTCTCTGTATCCAGTCTCCAGTGGCATCTTGCGGGATGCTACCCACCAGGTTCATCCCGCGTTGGAGACTGGAGAAGTCGTTCTCCTCGAGAGATTCAACCTCTGTAGTATCACCTTCGGCCGATAGTGAAGAACCTTCTGCACTATCCGAATTGGAAGGTGACAGCAGTAAAGCGCGTTCTAATCGACGTCGAAAGTCTTCGTGTTTGATGGGCCGGGAAGCCTTTCTAATTCCAGCCATGCTTGTGCTAGAGAAGTTTGAGAACAGCGAATTTACCAAGGAAAAAGTCGGGCAGCTTTTATAAGGGTTGACCGGAGGAACTGAGTAAGCAATTGATGTCTGCGGCAACAACGCAGACTCTCTCGGAATTTGAGCTCCATCGAAATATGTAGAGCCATATTGTTAAGGAATTTGCGAGTGTGACTTCACGGCTCTGAATAAGGTCAAAACTGAACAAGAGTAGTCATCATGTAGAATTTCAACAGGCAATTTCAACAGGCAATTTCAACAGGCAATTTCAACAGGCAATTTCAACAGGCAATTTCAACAGGCAATTTCAACAGGCAATTTCAACAGGCAATTTCAACAGGCAATTTCAACAGGCAGTTTCAACAGGTAGGTCAACAGGTAGGTCAACAGGTAGGTCAACAGGTCAAAGTACAACAGGGAAACTCAATATCCAAAGAACATGCAAGGTCAATATGCAAAACTGCATTAAACACATTTAAATGCATCACGGCTGCGCAATTTAGTATTTGTCAACACAGATGGTCGTTATCACTCAGCGACCCCAATCCCATTTTTCAAGGCCAGATACTGAGGAACGGAAACTGGTGAAGCATCATACAAACCACTTCCCATGGCAGAATCCTCAATCTGGCTCATCAAATCAATCCATGGAACAGATTGTGACTTGAAAAAGTTTGACCGACTTCCCCAATGAACGATACTTTTGACTGACCCCAGCAACAATTTAAAAGCTCAACCGACTCCCTTCAACAAGCGGTCACAAATTTTCCATTTGCATCAATTTAAGAATTACAATGTCTCCGCGTGGCATTTTGAGCTGGTCAGTGCATGAAGAAGAGAATCTTTTGCCCTGGTTAGACGAAAATCGTGAATTGCCATGGAAAGATCTTCCGGACGCATACAGACAAAAATTTGGCGTGAATCGAAGCGTTGAATCTTTACGAGGCAAAAAATACCATATTCTGCGGAAGAACGGTGGCACGACTGCGCGAACTCCAAGACGTCAAGGTCACCGTAATCGACGAAAGCCCCGCCGTCGCTCGATCGCACAGACGGTCATACATTCAAACGCTTCAGCCGACACCGCGACTCGAAGCAACATCGATCTGTGGTTTCAGACAATTCTTGCGCCTGAATCTGGTTCGGCGAAAAGTAGCGAGTCAACGATGACAAAAGACTCGATTTCAGGTATGGGCCCTTTCAGGCTACCTCGACGTGCAAGCTAACCTTTCTTTCAGATCGTCTGACGCCGGTGCTAAGGAAGTTCCATCCGGAGAAACCACGGTCGGCATCATGGAAATGGGAATATGTGCATCGTATGGTGTGTCACTGGGAGAATGGTTCTCGAAGGCACGGTGTATGAACATGTTGTGCGCTGTTTCAGGGGGACAGTGGTGGACCAAAAATCTGTCATTTATCGATTTGCTATCACGCACAAAAGACACTGCTTATGACATGAATTTGATTCACATCCGCTTTATGGCTTGTCTGGTTCCATGATTGCTCACGAGAATCCGGTCAAGTTGTGTATAAAGGAGAATTTGGCAGTCTGATTAATCTTGTGCTAGACTGGTGTATACAATTCGCAAAGGTTCGCTCGGCGGGTTTTACCAGTCCAACATTTAAGCTCGTCGTACCGTTGGCAGAGTAAGCCACAACGGCTTTGCTCTTCTCTGCTCGTTTCTGACTGTGCAATTCTTCTTCACGTATTTTGTTCCATCTCTCTGACGTCGATTATGCATGAGGAAATATCATGTTTCCAGTTAAGAGAGATTGGTATTCGTCAGAAACCTTGCAAGCTTTGCCAACATGTAGTCACGGCGCTGTCGCTGGTAGAATTCCACGGTCGGTATCACAGATCAAAAGGCCTTCACAATGCTCATCCAAAACTTTAAGGCCAACATCCGACGATGGTGTCGTTGGGTGAAAATTGTCTTCATTTGCAGGCCACCAACCCAATTGGGTCAGAAAAGACTGGTCATGAGACCTCGGTCGATAATTGCACGCTGAGCCGAAATCATAAATAACCTCAATAGTCCTGGGAGTGAGCTTGCTCCTGGGGCTTTCCATTCATGTCCTGGTGCCGACGGCCTGGCTCTCGGGACCAGACTGGCTCTTCTAAATTTCCTCTCTAGTAATGGCCTCGAACAAATGCATTATGGGATTAGCTATATAACAGACTAGACACGGCCGGTGCTTTATTATTCTACAGCTTTTTAGATAGTCAGATCCCGCAGACAACGCCACGAACAAACACCCACGTGACCATGGATACTTTCATGGCCAATCTGTCCCCGGAGGTAGGAGTCGTTCTCCAAGAAAACATCTCAAATATTATCGTCATATCTATGCTCGCCACTGCCATATACAATGCGATGGAAACGATCTTCATCACGTTTGACATTGTCAGAGATTATCGCAATCTCTACTTCTGGAGCATGCAGGCCTCATGCTGCGGCATCCTTGTGCACGCTGTATCTGCCATCATCTGCTGCATATCTCAACAATCCACACTGCCGACGTCCGTGTTGTTCGTCGTCGGGTGGTACGCAATGGTGACTGGTCAGGCCGTTGTAAGCTACTCTCGTCTGCGCCTCGTTATTCTCGATACCAGTCAGGTGCGGTGGGTGGTCCGGATGATCGTCGTGAATGCTTGCATCCTACACATCCCAATGACAGTCCTCTTTTTCGGGCGAATCAGCGGCAATCTCCGCTTTCCTCGACCAGCTGCCATCTTCAATCGCATCCAATTGGTCGGCTTTTGTGTGCAGGAGGGTGTGATTAGCTGCGTCTACATACATGAGGCGATGCGCAATCTGATCTGCGTCGCCAGACTTCGCGGCCGTGAGCGACCTCGAGCCACCGCGCATCTGTATGGCATCGGCGGATTCGTCTTTCTCCTGAACATTCTCCTCCTCTTGACGGAGTACAGGCTGCATTTCGTACAAGTCAGTCTGCAAGCCGTGATATACAGTATCAAGTTGAGGCTGGAATTCGTGCTGCTGTATCATCTTCGCACAGCAATGCATGCCGTTGCTCTGGGTTTTCCACCGGGCCGAATACAGGGTCAATCATGGTCAAGTGATGCAAATTTCTTCAACACGACCACCACGGCCACAACGGTTGCGCTGGAGGTGATAAACCCATCTCGCGGTGAGGCAGGAGGAAGCCAGGACCCTGGTTACTCTCAATCTAGCAGTACTGCTGAATATCATGAAGCATTATGTGAGATCTCACATCATCCGGTAGGGATTTGACGAGATTATGTCGACACAGTTTAGCTCACCTGGGCGGTTGCCATAACTGACCACCACCGTCAGTCATGTAGCATCAAGTCACCAGCTGAATGTCCGAAACATCCATCACATTCTCGCTCCACCATGACCTGCCGTGAGGGGAGATGATAGATAGCAACCATAATGATGGGGTTTGAAACCTAGCCAAGGGGACATTGTCGTGGTACACACGACCCAATTGCCTCCCAGCTGACGAGGGCATGCACGTACCCAATGCTCTTAGAGGATATCCAATTTCGTATTCTTGCTATAAAAAGCTGGAAGATCCCGTCGTATGTACTGCTGAACCTTTCGATACATAACTCTGCAAGGTATTGTGGAATGATCACAGGTCTTGAAATTCATATTCGTCTGCTTCGACAACCTCGCGCCGGATCGACGGTCGAGGGCCTCTTAAGCGAACTCGACAAGGATATGAGACAAGAATGTACTGTTGAGAATTCCGGGGAAGCTTCTTGGTCTAGAGACAAGGAACGGAAGCGAATTGACTTCTAAGCAAAACCGCAATCCTTGCGACGATCTTTGGGCCTCAGCTTTCCTTATCAAAGAAATATGGAGGTGTAAGATACCTGCCGTCTGATCCAGCACTGATGTATTTCTCAAAGAGTGAGAATCTCAAATAATACTACCCTGCGGTACGCACGGCTAAATCTGAAAAGACAAAGTAGCCTGCCGGATTTGGTCTTCCCACGAGGGCGATACTTGACAAAGCCCATATCGTTCATCCCAGATTAGCTCGCCGAAAAGATGTAGCCTCGGTGATGAGACACGTTACGAAAGTTTTGACCTGCTGCCAGAGAAACGTATGGTGTGTTCTCAAATTTGACTTGTATGATCTTCTCAATCTAAAAGCACCTTGCACCCCTCTGCACTCATCACCACAATTGTCAGCGTTTGCTTCTCCTCCCCAGGTGGAACAGTAGATGTTCCAGGTGGTAGTCTGAGCTCCGGAAATGCCTGAAGAATTCGTAATATTGCACACGAAGCTTCTCCCAGCGCCAATTCCTCTGCAGATCAAGTCAGCGCCTCTGTCATTGCGCTACAAGGGAGAATACTTACTGCCTAGACATATTCGCGGCCCCCCATGAAAAGGCATAAATCCCCAGCCAATGTCTTTTAGCTCTTGATCCAACCATCTTTCAGGTCGAAATTCATTTGCGTCTTTGCCATACAGGCTCCGGAGCCGGTGCATGTGATATACTGAATAACCAACCCCGGTACCTTTGGGAATAAGGACCGGAGATCTACCATCTGGACCTCCACCACTAGGGATCACTGTCGTTTTAGCGGCTACTCGAACGTTCAATGGGAGTTGCGGGTATAGTCTTTGAGCTGTATGGCGGACAAATATGAGCAGGCTAATTAGATTCAAGGCAGGCTCACTCATAGACTTACTTTCGTTTAGCACACATCGGAGATACTTCATTTTCTTGATTTTTGCCCGGGTCAATTCTGCTGAGCCTTCTGTGACCTGATCGATCTCGGAGCAAAGTTGAGCCAGGGATTTGGGGTGTCTCGCGAGAAGGAAGAACGCCCATGACATGAGACATGCTGTCGTATCCCTTCCTGCGATTAGAACATTGACCAGTTGATCCCTCACTAACACGAAATCTTGCAAGTCCTTGTACAGCTCGATGATAAATGGATACTTTCTTAATGCCGCTTCTTCGCCACTTTTTGTCATCTCATCCAGGGCAAGCTGTACAAAATGAGTCGCGTATTGCTTGACAACAGCACAAGCTGCGCGGAACTTAGTCGGCTTCCATATCCATTGCAAATCTGCCAGACGAAGTCTGAGTGCGCTGACTGAGCTGGCATAGTCAAATGCATTCTCAAACAACTCTGTCTCTTCTCCGGGCAAGGCAGAGACAGATCCCCCGAAAAGGAGCGCCGTTGTTGTGGCTAGAGTAAACCGGAAAAAGTAAGGCTGCAGGTCTATGACACCTCCGGTGGCGCGCAGTCTGGAGATCAGATCCTCGACGTGTGCGTCAAATACTCTGCAATCTTGGCGATGAATTCGAGCAAATTGACGACGAAGCAATTCTCTTGAGTGCCTCCATGGCCGTCCATCTTGAGTAAAAATACCTTCACCCAGTAGGGGCATCAGCCCAGGTCGCCTGGAGCCAAGACACCAGTCTATACAAGGTGAGAAATGAGACCTGGCAATGTGAGGGTCAGATAGCCATTTACCTTCAAAGTTTGTTGATAGTATGGACTCCACATTCTTTGGGTCGGCAGTAAGATAGCCTTGTTTCCCGAATAGTTTGAACGTCATGTTAGGTCCAATTCTGTCAAAGTACTGCGATTGGAACATGAGTATACGCTGATCTGGAAGCGCGTCGTATTGTCGTTTAAGGATGTCGAGAGCCCATGGCCATTTGTAGGGTATCCAAGTCTCCATGGGCAGACAACCGTGCTTGATACCAACATCATTGTCATGCTGAAAGTGTCAGTGGCGTGGAGAGCGCGGAAAGTTGAAAATTCGACTCACGGCAAATCTACGTCGGCTCTTGAATACACAATATAGCATGAGGGCGACAGCCATGACCGTGCACAACAACGGTAGGTCAATTGTGGGTACTTTGCTTCCACAGGTGCGCTGAATCAATCGCACTAGATCCATCTCCAATATGAGGTGGAGCGTTCCGTTGGATATAGAGGAATGGGTGTGAGCAGGGATTTTAAGAAGAGGCAAAAGTCCAGAAGAGTGGTGTGGGCCACTGGAAGACGTGAGGGTTGATTGAAATCGCGATAGAAGAAACTTGAAGTAGTCAATGTATCTTCATACTTGAGGACATAAGAAATCTCGGAATTTAAAGGCTTCTGTACCAGTTGCTTCACCAGCGGCAGCGACTCTCAATTTACTCGGGCTCTCAATATTTGGAAAAAGTCAACATCATAGTCAATGTGTGAGACTCCTCATCCATCATAATACGTCGACTATTATCAACGATTCATGACTTCTCTACATCCATATCGTCATATAGCCTTGGCTTGCAGTAACAATATTAATTTTCGGTCAATAGAAGGTCCTTTCCATCACCAAGCATCTCACTGTTATTATCGTTTAAATTTCATCGAAATAGCCTTGAAGAAGTTAGTTGCTATATAAGCTTGTCATTTCAACCAGAGACTAGTTTGGGGATGCGGAGTCAGTTCGTGGAGGACGAAATAGCCTGGATTTGTTAAGTTGTGGATCAAAAATTTACAATCTACGTGTGATTATTACTTCCTAGGGCTAAGAGCTAATTCAATACCTTGTGGGACACTGTGGTCACATGCTACTACTGCTATGTACTTCGTGTAGAATTGGGAAGAACTGAACTTTCTCCTGGACAGAGTCGACAGCACGTTAATGACGATCTATCTCCGTACAGCCAGCCAGATCACTTCGAGAAGAACAGCTGTTCTAAAGTATGTTTAGAGCTCGGAAGTTATTGAGTTTCTCATTGCAGCTCCGCAATCTCACTTCATGTGTAGCTACCTCGTTGATTGCATAGACAGATATACTGGAGCTTACCAGACACTTCTACAAATGGTACGTACGTGTTGCATGTTCCACCTGTTCCCGTCATTTAAAATAGCATAAATTGTTTATGTCGGGATATATCCTCCCGTCAGAATAAGCAAAGACATGCTGTACGTAATCTTGCTAAGCTGCGGCTCCCACCGCATGGATTCAGGGGTATTTGGCCTTGACCGGAGACACATCTATCTACATGAATCAATTGACTTTTGCTTTTCAAGCATACGCGCTGTCCACTTAACTGTGTACACAGTACCTAGCTGGTGATACCAACAGTTTATGAGCTATGTCAATTGCTCGCATATAGATCAGTCAACACGAATGCACTGACCCAAGAAATGAGTCAGCTATGGTAAGCTACGGCTTCAGCATTTGGTGGCCGACAATCCATAATATGAGATGCACTAACCAGGTAACCCTTTACTTTTCAGTCACTTCAAAAGCTGTCGTATTATTAGACCGCAGAACGATATGCTCTTTTTAGACTGAGCTTTCTAGTGATTCTGAATCAAACTGCGGCTTCTGCCTGTGCATCAAGATTGTGCAGCTACGCCATAATTCTAATGCCCACCCATCAATGGTGTTTACGCCAGATCATAGTTTTTTGTCACACCGACATCATTAAAAATGCCGGGTAATTTCAATCAAGGCTAGAAGCTGGAATGAGACACTATAAATGCATGCGTGCGCCCCTTCTCACTACGGTAGCGGCATTCATTCCAATAAATCCTGACAATCCATCTATACAGTGATATCAGCATTAAGATGAATTTTCATTGGCGCTTTTCACATTCATCTCTATCGCCTTCGGAGGGACCCTTCAGATCATCGACTATGAAGACCAGTGCTTGGTGTATTCCACGGATAATTTCGATTGCACCGGATACTCCAAGCCATTTGCACCCCTTGAAGGCAACTCCTGCTCTAGTAAGCAATTCACTTTCAATCACGATCATTTCTAACAGCTTCAAGATTTGACGACAGGGTATAATGGCACAGGGTCCGAGCCTAATGCGGTGAAAGTCAATCTGTGCAGTTCGCACCACCATCTTCCTTGGGTTGAAGTGCATCGAACCGGCTTGCTTCACTTTCACAACGATCAAGGGGACGAGGCGAGCTGCAATATTGATGAACCTCTTGTCAAGGGCAAGTCTTGTACCATTGGTAGTATTGCGAAGACTTCGACGTCAAGCATGAGACCTATGCCAACTTCTTCTGACGCTACCTCTCATGGTATATCAGCCAAAGCAACGGGAGTGACCACGTCTATCTCAGCGGCCTCGTCGAAAGTTCCGGATTCCACAACGGATTGTTAGATCTTCGAGCAACCAACAATATGGCTTGGCTACGCTAAGGTTGGCCTTCTGATATCTTGATTTTGAGAGCTCTTGTTGTGTCAGGACGAAATTGTTATTGGGCTTTCACCTCTCTCTCCTCGATTGGCAGTTTGACCCTCGCATTCGCGAACAATATTTCTACTATCATCTCTTTGTTTTTCCCACCATAGTCGAGGCCAGTGAATACATTCTAGTCTCATTGGGACCTTGCCATGACGTGCATCTATGGAAGGCCTACCTACTTGCAAGCTCAATGAGTTTTGGTGAGGTTCTATTCAACTCTCGTCTCCGATCAATAAATCTTTTCGTATCGTTTTCTCTCCCGATGTCTGGACAGCACGTCAAATAAGGCCAGCATTCTTGAGTACCCTCCCCAAACACATTTCACCACGTGCAACCTCAGTGTTGATATCATCGACAACTGAAAGCACCCACTTGAAGTTACCAGCAGCTTTCTGGAGAAGCTTAGAGTGCAGCCCTTCAACCAATGTAGACGTTCCAGCGTGAAGTCTGCGTGCAATAGTGCTTTCCAGGTCTTTCACGTGGCCGGATTGGTCTTCCAGTATAATTCGGGTTCTAAAGCGATGGGACATAGAGAGACCATCTCCACCAGACACGCAAACTCGAAAGAGGCTACCTGCAGCAGTGGAAAGCTTCGTCAGATTGTCAAAGTACTGCATCAAGTCCGCAGCTTCCCGTTCATCACACACATCGAGAGCATCGATAAAGCAGAGGAATGATCGCTGGCCAAGAGCAAAGACTGCTTGGCAGAAAAGGTGCTTCAGAACATGCAGAGAAGGGCAGCCCCCATGGCTCAATGACGCCATCGTAGAATCATCCATCATAATCTGGATGTCAGGGCATCCTTCAAGAAGTTGAAGCAGCAACGATCTATGCAGCCCCACGATTGACCTTTTCAAGTATCCACCTTCCTTGTTGAAGAAAAAGGAAGCAGCAACGACATGCTGATTCCCGGTTCCGCGCTTCGCATTCAGGTATGCAAACTTCATGATCATCGACTTGCCCGCCCCTGGCTTACCGTTGATCCCCAACACGCGAGGGGTTTGCGGTGATGGCGCAGAGTGAAGCCATTCTTGGTAGTCTGGGTTGGCGAGAAGCCACTCACCCGTCCCAAAGCGCGCAGTCTTGATGTTCAGCTTCTGAGTGTCAATGCCTTCAAACATGAGAATATGAAGTAACAACTGCCGATGTCCATGAGACAAAAATGGGTCTACTTGAGTGTGAGTACATGATTTTAGGTGATAGGGAACTTGATCGCACCAGAAAATGGTCTTTGATCGCCGGAGTCACGAAGCTCGAGTCTTGATGGAGTTTCTGGGATATCAGTCTAGGCGCCAACCGGTCAGTCGTTGAACGCAAAACAAGCTGATGGAGAGAGGGGTGACTACCATAGTTTTGATGGCAGAATGAATGACTTTTGGGTTGTGAAGTTGCGACAGCTCTGACGAATGGAAGATAGAAGGTATGACAAGGGTGGGGGGGGGGGGGGGAAGCACAGCTCAAATACGAAAATGGGCAAGCTCTCCAGTTGGAGCGGAGGGTGCCGAGCTTGAACCTCAAAAGATGGCTCCAGGCTCCAGGCTTCGGGATCAAGGACAAGAACTCCAGAGCATGGCTCAAGAGTCCCAGGGGCAGACTAGCTCCTACAGCCAGTGGTTGCGTTCCCAGTCACGTCCCTATCATTCGCGGGATCGCTGGTTGAGATCCCAGGACTGATCGAGGTGGTTGTCAGGGATATACATGAAGCATACACGCTAAGCGGAGGAGATGGACCCACATGGCGCATCTGGGTTCCCCTGAACGCGAGGAAGCCACCTCTCTTTTGCTTCCTCGCGCTACGTCTTGTATCTAGAGTCGACTATAGCTTTTCCTTAGATTGCCTAATCAACTACGCATACGTGAGATCCTCACAGTGGTCCTATACTCGATTTTGCTGGAACCAGGGTACGTTTCAGGGACCTGTACAGTAGAATTCGAAAACAGTTTACCCCTCGGACACACTGGCTTTCTTCCCTGCGACCCACTCAGATCGCGCTGAACTAGATTGGGCCAGTAAAAATCTCCACCATCTTTTCTTGAGGTATTCCTGGTAGATCACCAGAATTACCGTAATTACAGGTTCCGGCATGGGCAGCCCATACTTGCCGAAACGCCCCGTGGCCATACTGAGTACATCAAATTCGAAAACTGATTACCGCCCAGACAATGACCGTCTGTTTCTCGGGCCGTAGAAATGGAGCCCTTATATTTCCAGAACAGCTGGATGGTGTATAATACTGTATATTATAATAAACTCTGATATAGAGTGGCACGGTTAAGGTCTCCAATCCCCCCACAGACCGCCTTTCGTTATCTCGCTTTGTCTGCCGGTCCAAATTAGGCTACCATCGACTAATACTTGATACACCAACCGTTTGGCTCTGAAGTAAGGCCCATAGGCTGTTCAAGTTTACGAATATATGCATTGTCGCAATGGTCAAAGCCCACGAACACCTCATCCAGTCCCTATGTGACCTCGAAATTCCAAAGACCATCCGGCTTTCCCCTGACCGCTCAAGTATCCTTTACTCAACTGAACTCACCTGGGGTCATCGCAAAGGGAAACATGCCGTCTCCACCCTATGGCTGGCCTCCACCGGCTGTGCAGACTCTTCGCTGCAGCTCACCCCGGGCCTCTTTCGCGACTACGCCGCCACATGGAGCCCGGATGGAAAGGCGGTGGCCTTTGTATCGGATCGTGCAGATGCCGGCGCCAAGTGGGCTATATATCTGTTACCATTGCAACAGGGGGGTGAGGCGTACCCGATAACGCCGGTGGAGAACGCAAGTCCAATCGAAGCATTCGCCTTCTCACCTGATGGCACCCACGTTGCGTTCCTCTCGGCCGATGAGGAGGTCCAATCTGACTCGGCAGGAGACGGCGCCCACAACGTGCGGGCTTGGGGCGAGGATTGGCGATTTACACGTCTGAGGGTCGTCGACTTACGTACCAAGCGAGTCCTGTGTGCCAAGCTCGACAGGCACGTAAAGAGCGTCTGTTGGAACCCGGATGGGACTCGCATTGGTTTCTCAAGTTGCATATCGCCCGACATCGAAGAGCCTCACCTCACCGGGACGACCATATCAGCTATTGACGTCGGCCTTAGCTCCGTGCAAGATTTGTGCCACTTCCCTAAAATGGTCGTTGACCTGACATGGGCTGCTGACGGGAATATGTACTTTTGCGGAGGTGTTCCCGCAGACAAGATGTTCGCTGGCTTCGGCGCTTATCGTATTGACCCTACCACTAAATTTCCCCAGTATGAGTGGGTGGGTTTTGGAGTAGAAGATGACTCCATCGGCCTCATTCAGGGCGCAAGTGGCGCAATTTTCGTCAAGGTGCAACACCGGCTAGAGTCTCGCGTGTGCCTACTCGACGGCACGGTGCTATATAGTAGGAAGGAGGAGCTCGAAGCATTCGACGCTGCAATAGATACTGATGGCAAGTTTGTCCTTGCCGTCGCAACTTCGGACGTCAACTCCCCTGCCGAGGTCTTCACCACATTCTCGTCCGACAGCGCGATGACGCGAATGTCGAATCACGGACAAGAGTTCGCAGGCCGTCGTTTCGGGACGTGTCACTTTTTGACGTGCACGTCAACGGACGGCGAGGTCGAGCTGGATGCCCTCTATTTGAGCCCGGCCTCTTCCTCAGTCGGCGACCACCGTCGCCCGCTGGCAACCGCGGTGCTCATCCACGGCGGGCCCAACACTCGTCTCACCAATGCCTTCAACACCTACTACTACATGCTTACTCCATATTTGCTGTCGCTCGGCTTCGGAATTTTGCTGCCGAACTATCGTGGAAGTAGCGGACGTGGGCAGTCTTTCGCGTCCTACTCCATCGGCGGGCTTGGCGTGCATGATTATTCTGATGTGATAGCGCTCACGCAGTGCGCGATAGACCAGGGTTATGCGGACAAAGAAAGACTGCTAGTGGGTGGTTGGAGCCAAGGCGGGTTTCTGACAAACCTTTGCAGTGTGCGTAACGACTTGCATGACGGTGATTGGCGATTCCGAGCCGCCGTGTCTGGCGCCAGCATCTGCGACATCGATGCTATGGCCTTGACCTCCGACCTCGGCTCCTGCTTCGAGCCTGAACTCTCGCGCGACGGTGTAGCCTGGAATATGGACTGCGAAGATACACGTAATCGCGCTGCGAGCGCCCTGTGGGCATTTAAAGACGCCGCACGGCGAGCCCATCTCGAAAACGCTACTATTGTGCCACCTATGCTGATTTTACACGGCGAGGCGGACGCTAGGTGCCCCGTGTCGCAGGCATGGGGCCTACGTCGCGCACTACGTAGCTACGGCTTGCCCTTCGAACTAGTCATTTACCCCTCACAGGGACACATTTTTGAGGAGCAGAAGTATTGGGTAGAAATGGCGCTCAGAATTAGCCGATGGTGCGAGAAGTACATCGGTGGTGCATCATCATGAAGCAGTTAGCACTATAAGCTTTATACATTCATACTCTCAAGCTTAGCCCTACTCCCTACTTCGGCCGTACCCCTCCAGGGGCACGAGCTTTCACACGTTGCTAACTAGTTATGGTGAGTAAGTGCCTTGGGCAGTACGATACCTGAGATGGTAATACAAATAAAAAGCTTGTTAGCTTATCAGGGTTAGCTATCTTCAATAACACGACACTTAGTTACGTAAGAAGTAGATAGAGGACGCCTACGGAGAATGAGTGGACGGCTGGAGTCGATCAAGCCAGATCACAAGATCTCCGGAGTAAGTCTTCTACAGCATTAACATAGCAGTAGTACAGCTTTCGTCATATAAGAGGTAGATGAAGAGGAAGAAAGGGATGGCGTCGATCAAGCATGATTGACAGATCCCTCCCTGCCGCCTACTTTCTGCCACCTATATTTTGCCGTAATAAAACACTCCAAGGTGTCCCACTAGTCCAATGTAGAAAAGCGGTATGGGCGGTGAAAAAGAGCGATCAGAGAGGTGAGTTAGATTTTTGCGGTGCCACTGCTGTATGGTCTGCTTAATGCCGGAACCTGTGATTACGGTAACTTTGGTGGTATACCAGAAATACATCAAGAAAAGATGGTGGGGTCTTTCCCTGACCTAATCCAGCTTAGTGTGATCATAGTGGGCCGCTGGGAAAGAAAGCGTGAGTGTCCAAGGGGTAATCTGTTTTCGAATTCTACTGTAACAGTTCCCAATCATCTTTAGTTGCGCTCGTCAATCCTGTCTAGTCACTCAAAGTTATAGAAATTTTTTTTTTCTTCCTTATGATAGAATCAGTCTTGAGAAGTAGCATAGACAGACATCAGGTATACATATTGTAGTCATTGAGCGCCCTTTGATCATTCACCTCAGTATTTCAGAGCCCAGTGATGAAGGCTCATTGTATGTGAAAACTAGCATCGGCTTAGGTCCGACTTACGGTGCCAACGAGCGATGCGTGTTGTCTCGGACGCGTCAAAGTAAGAGCCGTAGTCTGACAGTCAATGTGGCATGGCTGCAGTACACCCAGTGGAAATCTTTTGAGTGGGCGATGGCTTAGACCCTTACATTCGATTATCAACGAGTGAGGCGAATTGCTCAGGACGCAGCATGATCATCAGCCTCGGTTTTAAATCAACAGCCAATGCTGAAGTTCAGAAGATGGTGATTAAAGTGCATGCGGTCGCAGTCGAGCGATGATTGCTGCCCATCGTTTTCAACTGTTGAAACACGGCCGCTGAGACAAAGTTGAACGTTGTTCAACGCTCTCGAGAAAAATAAATATTAAATAAAATTAAATTAAATAAAAAGAAAAAAGATCATAATTTATTATTGTTCAAAATTTTCAGGAGACAACTTGATTCTACAATCCACCCTGACCATGCCGTTCACTTTTCACCTGCCTGTTGACTTCTACCGAGCCCGTCACCTCTGTAGGTCGAGGTTCAACAGGACTGACTTTGCACAGGCAACCTCGATGCCCCCGAAAACAATGCCCCCAAAAAGCGGCAGACAGAAAAGACTTCACCGCGGCAATACAAAGCAGGCGGTAACAAGACCAATCAAGAGACCTATAAATATGGCCTTCTTCCCTGGCTCTGTGTCGAAACAATTCTCTTCCTTACCATATCTGACGGATTCCCTCAAGCTGTAACCAAGCTGCCCTGCTACAGCGGATGATGGGTCACTTCTCCTTGACCCTTAGCATTCGCTGTGACTGACATCCTTGGTGCACACAGAAGCCACCGAGTCACCTGGCCCCCTTTACCCTCTAGTGGTTCACTCCACTGTACCCGTCTTCGTGCCTGCGGGCCAGGGCCTGAGCCTTGACTAGCGAGAACCCTTTGGTGAGTGCTGTGTCCATGTGTCTTGTCGAGTGGAGCTAATAACGTGACTTCTGACTAGGTTGTTGACCACAAAAGTGCAAGTGAGGCGGCCTGCAGGTAAGTTCCTCGTCAGCCCATACCATCGGCCACTGCTGAAACAACCAACATGACGACCAGCCAAGTCGTGTCAATAGACGGATCCAAGTCAGAATTCCAGACACTATACCACTACCTGTCAGCAACACCGATAACTGAGTCACGCCTCAGGCTCAAGCTCTTGATGTGAGTCATGAGCCCGGACTGTGGTTCTCTGCTGACAAGTGCTTCTTGAACAATGCCTTCGGCGATCATAAGCCAGACCTCCGAGTATTGAACACCGCCATTCTCGAGCCCTTCCTATGCACATGTCGCCGTCATCCTGAATAGTTCAATGTCTTGATATAGTGTCTCAAGCAAGGCCACTTGTGCACGTCATCGCGGTCACCGGTCTCGTGCGGCTGGACATCCGTTGACTAGGTACGTCTGCTCCGAGCTTCTACCCCATCACCACCCATTAATAGTCGGCCATGATTTTGGCCGGAGGACACATGAGCCGAACCGACCTCATGGAGCTGCAAGACAGAAGATGCGTTGGGTCGATTGGGAGTTGAGACTTGTCTCTGTAGGTGCAGGATGAGATTGGAAAAAAAGACCGTGAGTGAACCCTCATTATCAGAGACATACTAAACATCTCGCAGGGCCACTAGCCAAGATGCTGGAAGAGCCAACAAGCGTCGGGCGTGTCTTGTATCGTGCCACTCTCGCCATGAAGCGATGTGTATCTCTTTGGAGATGGTATCAAAGGTCAACGTGATCTAAATTGCCCGATCAGTTCAGCCTTTCGCCTTACCCACTGATACCGACTGAGAACACCAGCTTCTAATCCACATCATTGGGAAGCTGAATCAGCCATGCAAACAATATAACGACCAACAAAATGCGGTCCTTACTGAGGTGATGAAACCCCAGTCTGATTAGCCTGGGTATCGAGGGATTCATCCACAGTGGGTCTGACTTCCACACCTGTGGAGGGTATGAGTAAGAAGGAAGCCGGAGGTCGATTCGGTGATGCTCAGATTTTGCTTTCTGGGGACGGATGCCGATCGTAATGGACCAGTCCAACAAGATGACCACGGGGCATTCAGATCTACCACAGGGCTTGTCGCTTTCTGCGGTCGCTGTCCTCTGCCCCTGTCAAATCTGATGGAAGGCTTGATCACCAATGACGGAGAGTCATCACTTTCAACGACAGTGACCTTTCGAAGATACATGCACTGTCCTGCAACAGCGGATCGCAGGCATATTGTTCATCCCGTTTCTGCAGAACCAGTGACAGCGCCAACCCCCTGCAGTCATGCGACAAGTGAGAAGCGACCCTTGATCAACTCCTGAGACGAGATTCCTTTACGTCACAATCGCCCAAGCATTGCGTCCATCCTGCCTCTGACAAATGCGCGAGACATCTCCATTGATAGCTTGCCGGTTTCTGCCTCCACAGCGCATTGAACATTCCTATCCACCGTGCGCATGTTGCCATTCACAACCGGATGCTACCATTAGGCAAGAACATCATTCATACCCTCCTGCATGGTGAACCAGAATTGGTTGTATGCAAATTCGTTGACACGGCGCTTGTCTTCACAACGAGATGGATGCAACGACATGCGTGCGAGCCCACAGCTTGAGCATTGCCTTTTCGCGAAAGGGCCCCTTCTGCTTTTGCAGGCCCTTGGCCAAGATGAGTTTCTCGCCTTTGGTCTCTGGTGCCGGTGCTTGCTACTCACTGGTACAGACCATACACCTTCCGACCGACGAAGTCATCCAGCTCCGTTGCCCGTTGATGTTTCGCCATCGCTCGTGTACACCAGCTAGGGCCAGGGTCACGAGTTCCAACCGCATCACCATATCCCGCGTGTATGACACGTGTGAGCCTGGCCGCCGAGCCTGGCCGCCAAGCCGACCGATTTTGCGTCTCTTTCTCACCATGACAACACGAGCGATTCTTCCTTTGCAGCTATGTCCTGGCCAGCCTAATACCATTGAAAACTGCGCCGAACACCGAACTTGCGACCAGCCCAATCCACCAACCACCTCAGGTCAATACTACAGTGGTTCAACTGTCAGCCCGGTAACTGGAAAGGTGAGTCAGAATTCATTTCCTGATCCAGTCACTAATACCGTGCCCAGTAGGACATGCCTTCGGGCACACGCCGAGCGAATGGTCCGGGTTTCAGACTACGACAGACTGCCACCTTGCAGCCTATCTTGTATCTACGCACACGCCGTCAATATCTCGCGAGATTTGAGAATTGAATCGGTGTGCCGAACAAGACTTCAAACACCCTCCGCCATGGACAAAGCGCTATCGTGGCATACCATATGTGCTGAAGAGTTGTGAGGTCAACGATGATTAATTGTGAGTGAACCCTATATCGACGGATGTATACTAACATCTTCTGAAGGATGACTTGTCAAGTGCGGAATCTCGACGGCACATGATGCAAACGCTCAAGTGATCCAACGACCCGCCTCTCATCCCACGAACTCCCTGAACCGACGTGGACGAGCAGTACCAGACGAAGGTGCTTGGCATCAGACTGCTCCGAGACGGGCGTGACTACAGGACGCTCGTTCGGCAATCTCCCAGATGGTTCCGGTAGAGCGGCCAACCCATCATGGCGAGATGATGGGCCCCCCAGTTGAGTATACCGTGTGAGGGGTATGTCCTCTCGACATTGGCACGCGCACTTGAAAGCATAAGAATCGACTGCGGAGGAACGGCAATTCATCTGGCACCTCAACGTCAAATACCGACAAGGAGTGTCCCTCGCCAATCCCGACGACTTGGTACTTTCAGCCGAGATGCCACTTAGAAGACCACCCTCACATGACACATGGGCGAACGGATGATAAAGGGCGACCAATTTAGCTCCCATGCGTTCCAGAAGCCCTTGGTATTCCCGCTACCAATACGAGCAGCCCTCATCGTGTAGACTGAGGCAGGGATCTGAGGCGAGGATCATCACAAACACCATCTGCCTTTAAACTCGAATGTTGAGCATTGGGTCTTTTGCCAGGCTTTCCAAAGGTCATCTGGTGATTGGGCAGTGTCAAAATGAGTTTTTTGATTTGAATTCTGCACCGTCATCCAATTTTCGATCGCCCGACAAGACGCTGATCAATCGTTGGAAAACGTGAGTCAAGATATCCTGTTCTGATGTATTTGCTAAGTTGTGCCCAGCAGAATGTGTCTCCGTGCGAAACCCAAAGCACGCCATCACCGCCGCAGGCGTTGGACTGCCTTGTCCCGATATGCAACGCGTTGCCGGTTTCCAGTACGCATTGCCGGTTTCTCAGGCGAAAGGGCATGCTGAGCAACATGCTCACGAAGGATTGACCGCCACGGTTGTCTGGCTTAGGTCAGTGCAATGGCTGGACTCGGTCGGCCTTGTGGGAGTCGGTCTTGTGGGAGTCGGTCTTGTGGGTGTCGGTCTTGTGGGCATTGATACGCGCAAGTCGGCTGGCGGAAGTGGGCTTGAGAGCGTTGGCTTGTGGGCGTTGGCTTGTGGGAGTTGGCTCGTGGGAGTTGGCTTGTGGGAGTTGGCTTGTGGGAGTTGGGTTGCGGGAGCTGGCTCGTTGGCATTTATACGTGGTCATTGATATGTGGGCATTGATATGTGGGCATTGATATGTGGGCATTGATATGTGGCGTTGGCTTATGGGATTGGGCTGGTGGGAGTGGTTTGTAGAAGTCGGCCAGGAGCTGAGTCAATCAGACACATCTGCTCGAGGCATACTCCGAGGTATACTCCATGGTCATTTCACTCGGCTACAGCTGTGGTACCAACCACGAGAGAGAGAGGTCCAAAGCAATTTTGAAGAGTCGACTAGAGCGAGCATTGAATGACTCGAACTCGAGACCGGCAGTGCCACCAAGACATGGGCTGTATCGTCAGCTGAAGGTCACCAGAATGAGCCGAATTAAGCAAAGTTGAGTATAAGAGCTGTGAGGAGATCAGCTCAATCTGATATCGACTGACTTATTGCAAAGGCCAGTCTCATGTGCGGACCAGCTCCGCGGGATGTCGCGTAAACAATGCGGCCCCGCGTCTGGGACGACCTCACCGCTTTTGCCGTCGCGTGGGATCGAAAGCAGCTTCCTCTCGTCAGACACTGGTGGAGTGAAAAGCGAATACCTGCCGCTCTCGCTTTGGAAATGCGACGCTGTATTTCCATCCATGACGTGCGAGCATCAACAATGTTCTGCATCCTTGCTCGACAAATTGCTCAGCCGGCGAATGTCATTGTTCTTGCCAACCTGTTCATCTGTTGCGCGGTTACCCTCTACCGATCTCCACAGACCGTCTGCCAGAGTTGAGCCAATGTGGATCCCTGCCTGTCATCTACTTGTCCGATGCGATGACATGGACAGCTACTCTAGCGAATGCCGTTCTCATGCTTGAATGCATGTTCGCAGTCCAGAGAAGACGATACTCGAAACTTGAGTAGAGGTGCAACAAAGGGAATCATCTCATTCGATGAGAATTTCAATGGATCCACCCACATCTATGAGGGCTGGAGACTCGTTTGCCAAGCAGGACGTATGAAGTCGCGCCCGCTAGTACTTGATGTTCTATCAGCGGAGCGATGTGTGCAATTGTGGGTCACACGAAGCCACATCAGGTATCCAAACAGTGCAGTCTGCAAGACCGGCAACTCCGGCCTGACCATTGTTGCAAATTTATTTACCGAGCTCTCATGCCGGTGGATCGACTCCAGCCGACAAGGGCCCACGCGCTCTTTTCATTGCAGGCATCACTGCTGGGCCGTATTAGTCGTTCCGAGGTCTAGAAGATCTCATGCACGGTGTTATCAATTTACGCCGTCTCTCGCAGTATCGATGACATTACGTTTGAGCCGAACAAATTGATCTCTCGTGATGCCCGTCGGTTGCTGGTCCGAATGGCACCATGGTTATCAAACATCCCTGTCATCCGATCACGTGACATATGGCCCCGGCCTCGATGCTGCTGAAGAGAAGTCGATTTGAGCTTCCAAAAATCCATGCCCACTTTATTGGCGAATCGAAAATGGAGAGTAAATCTTACTCGGTGGTATCAGTTTCACCCAGAAATTCACTCTGATGGGTGTGGGGATCCACGAAGAGGAAGCCAAAAGACTCGCCATCGAACTGCCGTGGCAGATCACAGCAGTGGTCTTGCGCATTGGTGCTGGAGATATAGCTCAGTTGCCTGTCACTCGAGTACAAGAGTGAGAGTCGCGCCAGGATGGTGAGGTGCGATATTCTCTCCTGTTGCATCGTCCTGTTGAGTTTCTGGATCATTTGCGCCGTCGCGTACATTCCTGGATGGCTGCGTGAAATCATCTTTGCTCGCTTCGGGCCATTTTCAGCGCGTATGTGTGCTCTTTGCTTTGACGAAAAACATTCCACCGTCAATCGCCGGTGATGCGTCATGACACAACGCTTGCCGGCCACCTCAACATCTCAGCTATCGCACAGTCATGTCTCATCAGATACACAGCGTGCGTCGCTGCGTCGGTGATGTCTCGCAACGCACGATCACCACAAGGTCTTGACTTGCCTTGTTAGGCACATCTTATGTTCCGCGTGAGCTGCTGACTGATGAAGAGCGAGTGACTCAGGTTTTTTCGTAGTTTTCGAGTGCTTTGATTAGGTTCTAAAGAGTCAGAACCTGGCTAAAGTGCTCGTCATGCTGGCAAACTCTAGGCCGATGATGCAGGGCTCATTCTCATTGTGCACGCTGCTTACGCCTACGTAGTTCCCTGATTAGACCTCGATGGAGGATCCTCCTTGTAGACTGATGACTGCTATCGGTAACACAAGTGCAACATACCATGCTGTTCGGAGGTCGCACTACGCAGCCTTGTCAGGGTGAAGGGCAGGGCAGCTTATAACGGGCCTATACCCAGTGTACGTGCATAGTGTCAATTTGTCGAATCCAAGGCTCACCGCTGTAATCAATCTCATATGAAACCTACATTTGTGGCTGTGGAGTTGCTGAGCATTAGTCTCATATTTGTATCATACGTGGTTGACTTCGAATTGACATGGCCCGATTTATTCATGATGTATCGCTGTCGTACTTTAAATCAACCGGTGTAAGCTTTATTGTTCGTGTGTTTGTGAAGCCACTAAAGATATACACGTCATGCGCTCGGCTTTGATGTCATAGCGTCTGTAGTCAAAATAGAGAATGCTGTTGATTGGTGAGGGGAGGTGCGGCTACAATATATATATACATATACGGTACACAAAATGTACCGAAAAGGTCCAGCCAACTAGATTCTTGGTGTAGGGCCTCCCAATTTAGAGGAATGACATAGCTTTCAATTTTTACATGATTGCCGACCCTACACTATGACTCTATTTCCTCCAGAAGGACTTGACAACGACTCTTGGCCTGAGAAAAAACAGTGATGTGGGAGGGGCCTTTTCCTTAGTCGGACGAAAGTGTGCGCGAGGGGTGACACACCGCCTGAGCGACTCCGTTTGACAACGCGTCCAGACTCAGCATTGACAGTCTGCTCATCGACGCGCTGACACTGTGATCATCGACAAATTGTTGTCAATGCTGGTCATCGTTCCAAGCTAGTCACTGTTTTTCGAATAGGCACAAGTGTTTATTTATCAACGCTCACTCAACTATTTACCAGCACAGGCTCAACTGTTTACACAGCAGTTCAACTGTTTACACAGCAGTTCAACTATTTACACAGCAGTTCAACTGTTTACACAGCAGTTCAACTGTTTACACAGCAGTTCAACTGTTTACCAAAGAAGGCTCACTTGTTTACGAATGGTCATTCAACTGATTACGGACGCTCAGTCAACTGTTTAAGCACTCTCAACGGTGCACGACGCTCAGTCAACTATCACCATAACAGACTGGTTACCACCATGGACTATGGATCACCGCATCTGCCCGTCACCACACCGCATCTACCAGTCACCACCAACGCCAACCTCAACAGTCATCTTGGGTTTCCGGACCTCTGAAATAGACGTGAATGATGCGTTCTTGCCGTGTGATGGTCTTTGACCGAGCCGACTAGCCTGAACGTGTGCGTATACATGCTCTACGTGTGTATACATCTTGGGAGATCAGGTTCTGCACATGATACTACGATGTACGGCGAATTCGGTAATAGCAAAATGCTGGGTTTATTCATTCTCTATACAACGCTATTTTGGAGCGAAAATAGGCCCTGGAATGCGCTCTCATGGCCCTACTGCCAGTCTCTTCGCCCGTAGCAAAGCCTACCCAAGTGAACTATGGATGGAGATGCAGGTCTTGGCTTCTTCAACTGCAGAGCGAGAGTTGAATACTGGTCCCTAGCACCACGTAGAGGTGCCCGCACTTGGCTAGAGTTCCTTGGTGTCGCAGCTTCCCCCTGCGGAGAACTTGGTGATGCAGCGGTCTCCTGCAGAGAACTTGGTAACGCAGCGGTCTCCTGCGAGGAACAGTTGATGTCGCAGAGCCCGTCCTGCGGGGAACAGTTGGTATCGCAGAGCCCGTCCTGCGGGGAACAGTTGGTATCGCAGAGCCCGTCCTGCGGGGAACAGTTGATATCGCAGAGCCCGTCCTGCGAAGCATGTTTGTTGACGCAGAGCTTGTACTGCGGACCCGTGGCCAGGAGACCCTCAAGCCTGCAGACAAGAGATGGAAACCATGACACACGGGAGTGTGAGGAGGGAAGTCCTGATTTTTTCTGGGCTGGAAATCTGGCGCCTTTTATGTCAAGTCGGCTACGTCTCTTCATAGAAACCGCCTGCGCAGATTCATATGGACGGCCACCAATTTTGGACGGCGTTGGAAAAGTTTCTTGGGAATCTTTGGCCAGAAGACGCACCTCCCATGGATCTATGGTCGGCCTCATGTTGCCAGGGGGAACCGCCCCTTGGTTCCATCAAACCGATCATCTAGACTGTCCATTTTCTGCGGTGGGTTACATTGGCGATTGGGTACCAGAATTGATGAAATGGAATCCATGGATATGATCGCTGTGGCAATCAAATTGCGTTGCATTGCAAGTTGCGACAGATGTATTACAATACAGCATTCAAAGAGGGCTAAACGCAATAGCCATGCAAGTGCAATCATAGGTACTATTGCCATCATTGTCGCGCATCGATCAAGGACTTCTGCAGTACACGATGTCCTTGTTTACGTCCTTCTGAGAACCCAATGAGTGGTATGAAGGACGATGCTCGAAACGACTGGACTTTGAGACCAGGTTGAAGGAGAGCGGGTGCCGCTCCGCAAGAGTGATCCGTGTGCGACATGCTTGCTGCGATGCGTCGCAAAAGAGTGTCAAGATTCTTGATGGCAAAATGTTTGGCCTGCCGACTCGATCATAGAAGACATTCGGAATTTCAGGCATCCTCCCCAATGAGGCGCACTGCGGGTATCTACCGTTGCGTATGCATCTCAAAATACCAAGTCGGCCGGAATGAAGGCCTTTGTGGCCAAGTGGATGGCGTCTGCGACCGACTGGAAGCTGTGAAAATAGCCGTCAAGGGACTGGTAATGGCAGAGAAATAAGGACCGGATAAGCGCCTCGTAGTAATTCCAATCGGCATCAGACTGGGGTAGTGAAATTCGTATCTCTACTGAATTTCTCTCACGTATCCCAGCACTGTGCTCTGCCACCGTTACGCAGCCTCTCATGAAGTCACGACACTTTGGTCAAGAAACAAGATACCAAAAAGGTCTCCGGTGTGAAAAACGAGTCGTTCGTCGTGGACCCAGACCCACGGGATAGATACCACGTGCCATTTAGACTTTCTGTTCCCGGGCGATCATTTCGTTCTGGACCCTCCAATTCTCCACTCTGGTCGTAGGCTGGCCCTCCTCGTCTACCCAAGATTTCTCTGGTAGACTCAAACCCCACTCGTCTCACAATTAGGCCATTTACATTAACAGAGTTGGGCCTGTCGATCACTCTCGGCGAAAGGCTCGAAAGTAAAACACTCGGGAATATCATAGCTCTAATCTTCCTGCAAATCTGTCACAATCCCACTGCCGTAGACCGTTAAAGAGGGGAGTGGCAAATAGAGGCAAAGCTGAGAACTTCGGGCAGCGTCGATCCCGTTTCAGAACCGCGTGGACCCGCTATGTGTGCTGGCAACCCATCGAACGGTATTCCACGGAACCTGCTGCTGCACCGTGGTGCCTGTGAATTCTACTTGTGCTGCACCCCAAAATTATCCTTGACATGTTTGAGCAACATCTGACGGGCGCTTTCTTTCAGCGGTCGCATTTCGCAGCTTCGAGGTAGTGGGCAATTAGGTCTTAAAGTAGTCGAGAACAATCAATCCAGGCCATGACATAGCTGTGACACTCTTCCGAGAAGCTCGTCAGCGTGCTGGCTTGATCCTGGAGGGCAAATCTTGTTGACCCCAACAATGAGGCCCACGAAGAGTCCAAACCCGAAGAGGCTTTCTTGCTACCAAGGCACGTCAGCTGAGCCCATGTAAATCTCTGCTCCATCTCCTGAGATTGCAACGCTACCATCACACCTTGATGGTCAGGGTACGGCTGACTCAATTTCGCTTCCTAGAAAGTCAGGCTTGAATGGTTCAAGGGGCTTTGCCAGGCGCCCAATGGCATTCTTGTTTTCCTCTGCAAAGTTAGCACGATCATCAAGACCCTAAGAGACGAGATATGCCATAAAGCAGACACAGCGTATCTGCATCGTCTACGTCAAGTCGGGGTACAGTTCACAGCTCTTCAGCCAATATAGTCAGGCCATCGCGTCCTGCGAAGCAACAGTGAGCAGCCACAATAAACCTCTTTACAACTTCAGTGTGGTTGCTCACTCTTTTCCAGTACTTCGAGACCAATGTCTATGTCTTGCCCAAGAAAGATCGATGCAATGCTAAGTGAGTTTCAAATCTGTATCTTTTGTTAATAGGAACATTGATTAACGAACCCGAATCACAGTCCTCGAGAGTCTCTCTTCACTCCTGGGAGTGCGATCAGGAAGAATTCCGTTTCGTGCCCAAAATCGAATCCTCCAAGCCATACAGCAACACCTCGAGTACCATGCATTTCAGTTCGCTCACAAATGGCTGCCAGAGAAGTCTCTCATGAACGGGTGGGCGTGTCCGAAGGAATTAGAGCTACACACATTCTTCACCTTTTTGGCAAAGAACAAGACCAAAGTGCAGCTCAGTGCCTTCCATCAAGCCAGTAGCGCCCTAGTGAAAATGAAGGGCCCTGTATCCGCGATCCGCCATGCCGCTGTCCATCGTCTGATTCAGGATCGTGAATCTCTCCTGCAGATGAATCGCATTGCCATTGAATTTGTGATGGCTACCGGTGTATCCTCCCACCCTGGGAAGCTTTGCCGCCTCTTTGACTTCTTGAAGACAAGAATTCCGAAGTCAGACCGACTGGCTTAAAGTCCAAAGGCTTTCTGCGCGGACGTCGCCACCGGAAACCGAACGCTCAATCTACGCTGCTACCGAAATCTACCCACAGAGTCCTACGATGGGTTAAGGGGCGTTTTGTTCTGGAAGTGGAGCGCTTCTTACGTGCTGTGCTTTGATAAATGTAGCTTGAACTCTTCGTGCTGCGTTGAAATGCTATAATGTTTTATCATATATATATGTGAAGTGAAGGAGCATACTTGGAATAAAGCTAACATTGTCTAAGTCTCAACACAAAATCGGAGCTAGGCTCCATAGGTCATTGATAGAAAGATTCATCGCAGTTCCGGCCAAACGCACACCAGAGCGGTACAAAGGCCCCTGACCGTCGTTATTGCGACGAAGACAATGTATCTCGCTGTGAGGGTAGAAGGTCCAATGATCAGCGGTCTGGGCCTTTGATCCCGAGATCCAGAACGACTGTCCTGAAACCACTACGCCTCGGGCTCGCCGCGATAGTCTTAAGAAACATGTGAAAAGCTGCTATGTTATGCACGACCCAGCTAAACGATCACATGCAGACAGTCTTGAAAATTCAGCAGGTTACTCTCTGTCCAATCGGGTTCGGTACGTCCAGAAGAGATCCCGATTTGGCAAGTATCCGAAGATTGCTGTTGCTTGATTAATTCAAATCTTGGCCTCCCTTTACGAGTCGGGATAGCCTTGGGCCATACCGCCATTAATTCCATATTTTGGTGCTTGATTCCGCCAATGATCCGCGGTTGCCTAGTCGTTAAGTATGCTTTGGTGTCGAAGAGTGGCGCACGGAGCGGAAGCACAGCACCCGTTCTGAAACATAGATTTCAAGGAAAGAGTGAAGTGGTAGAACTTACTCTGCACCAGCATTGAGCTATAAAGCCATTTGTTGGTCCTTTATCCAGAACATCAATATCGAGCCTTCCGTATCTCATCAATTTCTCTATTCTTCGACTTTGACAATGCAGGCATGGCAAATGCCTACACTTACGACGGACGTGTGTATCCTACACACTCCTATCGAGAAGTCAGTCTACCTGGTCATTCCAGCTTTTCAGCTATACATAATTATTTGCCAGTGGAGACTGCTCAAAAGCACATACGGTTCTAATTTGGGTGTTCCAAGCTTTTTCGAATCAATCTCAGGTATTCTCAACCCAGAAAGTTTCAACTTCTCAGACTAATTGATTGTTCATTTGATCTTGATTGCATACAGGCCCCCGAAATTCTTCTTCAAGTTTTCTCCAATATCTTGGAGATGATGATCGAGATTTGCCTATTCCAAATTATGCATAGAGCCTCCTTCCCGTCATTTATGCTCGCCGCATTCTTGATACGCTTGATATTTTCTTTTTTGCTTTGTCTTATAAAGGCATGGGTTGCTACCTGGCAGCTAACTGTGCAATCTGCAACAGGCATCTGGAAAAGGCAATTCGCACAGAACAAACTTTTTACCTTGCTCATAATCCTTATATTCATTCTGTCATGCGATTCACCATTGGTCTATCCAACCGTCCTCGGATCCTTATTCGCTGGCCCTATCCTTAGCTTTTCAGGAATTTGGGGCCCCTATCAGTTAAACCAACTCGAGAAGTGGAATCCTAAGCCGGGCGATTTGAAGACTCGCGCCGAACACTTGGTAAAAACCACGGGTTACTCCTGGTCGGATATATACATATGCCCCACACTGGTTGCAGACAGGAATGCAGAGGCATGTTGCCATAGCGGTCTGAGAAAGACGTACATTCTCCTCGATCAGGGCCTGCTAAAGAAAGCTCCAGAAACAATCATATTTGTTCTGGCGCATGAGATAGGCCATTGGAAGTGCAAACATTCGTCTAGAATGTTCGCCGCAATTTGCGTAAGTTCTCCAAAATTCAGCATCTTGCTATCACTTTTCGTTAATATGCTATTCAGATTGCTCATTCATGTCTCACTGTGATGTCTCGCGAAGTCGGGCGTAGATATTCGATAACGCTTCCTGCTTTATTTATCATTTGGTGGTATTTTCATCAAATCATCATACAGAGCCCTGAGCTAGAGGCTGGTAAGTCACATTTTACCTCAGTTTCAAAGACAATAAGTAACCAAGATACCGCAGACCTCTTTGCACTAGTGAACGGATCGGACTCGGGGGGTACCCCGAGGCTTCTTCCATATGATGAACATGCGTGGTATTCTCTGTTCTACCGTTCTCACCCTTCGATGGAGAGTGTTTACGAATACCTGCACAGTACTGGGTATGGTGGGGATGCAAAGAAGGATGTGTAATCAATACATATTGGAGGGATTTCATCGGCTCAAGGACTATGTGAAAGGCACGGCCTAGGTAATTTGGATAGGGATTTGGCGTCATGATCGAACAGAAATAGTGACGATAGAGAGGGATCGTTCATCAACGTTCAGGAACGGTTAAACCATTGCTTCTTACTCGAAGCGCTCGAAGAAGGGTCATTTTCTCATTATCAAATAGAACAATATTTCAGTAAGATAAAGCAAGTATTCATTCGTCTTTGGCCACGAGAATACGTTGAACATCATGAAATACACGTAGAAGATTGGCCACCACATTCGTTTGGTTCAAACGCGATCGAACCGGTATAGACCTGGTAGGGGCTCGCGACTGACGGGTAGCTGTGAAAGCTGCCGTCAAAGGAAGTCAGGCATGGCAGAGGGGAAAAGACCGGATGAGCGCCTCATTGATTCTCATCAGGACCAGAATATTGTAATGAGATCTGACGTCTCTGTTGGTCTCCGCCCATTTCGTATCCCAGCACTGCTCTCTATCAACGACTACATGCAGCCTATGAACTCACGATACTTTGGCCAATATACCCAATTGGTCTCCGGTGTAGAACCGACCCGCTCTCTGACCAGCTGGTTCCGACCGACGCAACCCACGTGCCAATTAAGGTGTAAGGTGCCGGCCGATCATTTCGATCTCGCTGTCCCACTCTCCAACTCATCGTAGTTATTCACCCTACTCAGGACGATTGCCTTAGCCATTGGTAGGTGTTGTGATATGAGGCTGGTGCAGTCAGGAACCAAGCCGAACCATCGGAATTAATCCCGAAGTATGTATACGAAGAGTCAAGTTGATTGGAAATCAACTTGATCTTCTCGTTGTATATATAGCCTGATGTTTCCCTTTGAATAAAACAATTAATCTTCCTTTGAAAAAAAAAAAAAAAAAAAAAAATCTTCCTTTGAACTACAACAGTAGGTTCCCGATCAGGAGGGCAACCGGCCAATTCACCACTGCGAATATGGAAAAATATCTTCTAGCACGTTTCTTTGCAATCGACGCTCGTGGCAGGGCAAGACCGAGGATCTGCGAGTACCCTTGCAAGACTTTGGCTGATTGGGCTGGCTCGGTCACTCAAGTTAATTCTGACCCACTAGGCTGCGGGCCCTGCTCCTGCTAACCAAACTTAGCGGCCATGGAACCGCGGAACCATTTAGACCCCTGCTCCGAGCAATCTTGATTGGCTGGGCATTCTGCTGAGTAAGTAAGAGACTTTGCCTGATGCAGAGAAGCCGTGAATGTTCAAAGTACCAGGAGCGTCGGGTTCCGCCGTACCTGGCCAATCAGATGCCAGTATGTGGTTCTGGAACTGTCGATCACTTTCCATGTGGCGCAAGACCCACTGCAGTTGTAACTGGACCACGAGCCATGGTAACTCCTTTTTAGTAAATGGTCCATTCTAGGCTGGGGCAGATGAAGGGCCTTGACCGGACTTACGAGTTGGCTCTAAAACTTCGTCTCTGGATATATATATTGATACTAATGGCCAACTCGGTGACGTATACTTATTCTGACATGTTCTTTGAGTTGTTCATTAGATTAGATACCCGATAGCTGAGAATAATATGTATGATGATAATGCCTAAGCCTATCGCTAAGTCCTGCTTTTTATATAGTAAGACCGCACTTTGGCATGAGAATATAATCGATCTAAAAAACCTAGCACTGTATTAGAACTATCTAGAGACCCGATCATTTCTTAGCTGCTATTGCTACAAATTTGTCTATTTGGCAAGCATCTCATGACATGCCCATGTCTATTACTGTCACCATCGCATGGACTTTTATACAGTACCAAACTCAACCCATGAGGATTTCCATTGGTCCACTTTGCACAACCGGCCATCCTCTCTCTCTCTCCACTCGGCAGATCCAACCGCGGTCTTGGCATAAAAGATGTCATTAGGATCGTACTTGGACTTCACTTTGCGCAAGGCATCATAATTGCTGCCATAAAAGACCCTCTGGAAGTCGGGTTGCTGGAAGTTACCCTGAAACGCGGTGAGTGACTTGAGCGGAATTTTTAAAATAAAACAAAATCGTGGTAAACTTTAATAGACATACCTCATTCATGTAGGCACCTGAGTTGGGGGCGAGTGCTTCCAGCTTGGGAATAAACTCATACGTCATCTTATTTTGACGTTCCAGCATCAGAGCGTCATTATCCCACTCCCAAGGGGTGGTCAGAGTTGTATCAATCAGTGCATCTCTCCAGGCAGGAAGGACCGCGTTATAAACGTCTCCAGAGACTTTGTGTGAAGCATTTAAACCCACACCAATGAAGGTCGCACCGGCTTCCGTGATCTCACGGTAGGCTTGAACCAGAGCTTTGTTGTTGTTCTCTACCACCGATCTTGGAATGAGATAGCCACCGTATTGCGCGGTGCCAACCTCGATAGTGCCTTGCATATCCTTGAACTGGCTGTAGTAGCTACTGTACTGGCCTGTCGTTAAGGTATAGTTGATGTTCAGCTTGTCAAGGCTTGTAGTAAAAGGCTCAAGGAGATTCACCAACTTGGCCTCAGGAATATTAGGGCCAGTGATGGGAGCGATCTCGAAGGAAGTGTTAGTGTAGTACCAGATACACATAGCACCTGCGTCAACGAGAGCAGGAAGGTTCTCGTGAAACTTCTCGATGGTGCTATAGAAGGTATCCGCCGTGAGATTGGTGCTGGTGTAGGTCAAATTAAGACCAGAAACCGGGGTTCCAGGATGCGCCTTCGAGGTCATTGACCAGACGACTCCATAGGTGCCACCGCCGCCACCACTCAGAGCCCAAAAGATATCGGAATACTCGTTATCTCGAGTGGCGGTGATAAAGTTGCCCTGGCCATCGATGACTTCCCATTTCAAGACTTGATCGGCACCTAGCCCGTACCGGGAAGAAAGTGCCGAGTGTCCACCTCCTTGGCTATATCCACCGGCCAGACCAACAGTGGGGCATTCACCTCCAACAACTTGGAGATCGTTGGCATCTGCAATCTCATAGGCTTCGAACCCCTGAATACCAGCCCCCATAGTAATGGCCTTGCCAGTGTAGTGGGTGTCCTTGTAATCATGAATCTCTAGGTCCTTGAGATGGTGGGTCCAGATTGCAAGAGCTCCAGCTCCAGTTGACTTGCCATTGTAGTCATGACCGGTGTTTCGAATGATTACACGAATGTTGTGTTCTGTTGCGAATTTCAAGGCGGATGAAATTTGAGACGGGCTGGTGACATTCACGCTGTACCGAACATAATTGCCCAAGGTGCAAGGCTTCGAGACAGGGTGATATGGATCACAGGTTCCATTGGCAAAAAATGGGGCCATAACAGAGGAAGACGATTCGTAACTAGAAGAATCACAATTTGAGCTTTGGCACCTTAAATATTTAAGCATAAAAATCGACATACTGTTCCTCTGGAAGCTCCCATCCAGCTTCCAATACTGCGCAAGCGGTAGCATTGTAGTTTGGCACATGACATGGGGTGCCAAGTGGGACAGTACTAATCAGTCGCCCATCGATAGTTTTATTGAATTCTGTCCAGGCACTTTCGGATGGCCAGCAAGAATCGCCCGGGAAGCAACGACAGGCAGAAGAGGCCAATGCCTGGGGCAGTGCTGCCAACAACGAGGCGATGAAGGATTTGCGGAAAAGCATCTTGGGTAGTATCAGTCTAATGCAGGGGTACCAGATGCCACATTATATATCTACTTCGGGTTTAATGGTGTGCGCCCATATGCATGATTCAGGAGCAGAATTCAGGGGCAGACCATTTTTTAGCCCATGAGACTCCACTCCTAGAGTCCGGAATTGTTCGTACTTTGTACAAAGATTACGTGCTCAATCTCGGCTAGTGCATGAGCTAGACGGGGGTAACACGGCAGAAAACTGGAAGATATTAACCCCATATTAGCGGGGTAAATAACCCGTCCAGTTAGCTTCTCGTTTTTTAAGCGAGCAGACTTTGGCCCCCAAATCTTTTCAGTGCTAGAACTAGCTAGTATTCCAAGTTTTACGCTAAAGCAGGCTAGGAGCTAGTTAATTCGAAATTGCGCAGTTTCGTTTATTGCCTCCTACACTTACGCGTAATGTACTACGTATTTGAAATTAATACTGTAGTTAAAGTCTTTTTCTCTGTGCCAACAAAGCGGATTGTTGTACTTTGTTCCCACGCGGCTTGAACAGGATCTATATCCCTGTCAATGCCTTTATGCAGGCCAAAAGTCTATTTTATTTATTGCTGCTGCGAAGAGTTTTAAAATATCCATATTGTCATGGTTAAAAATGTCTTATCCCCTGCATACCCTTTTCCTCGCACTCCATAGCCATACCCGTGAATTACCAATTTAATCATGGGTTGGGTCTATAATCTCAACGAAAAAGATCCAAACAGCGAGATCCCGAAGGTGATTGGCGTCTGCTTAGCTTTCTCGATTTTTTCCCTTTTCGCCGTGTGCCTGCGGTTTTACGTGAGAATCAGCCGCAATCGGTCTCTGTGGATTGACGATTATGCTGCATTGGCGAGTTCTGCCCTGACACTTGGTTATGCTGGCATCGCTGTGGCTCGTGAGTTGATGCTTAGCCCAGGAAACCCTCCATTCCTGGTGACCAGACTTGGCTGACTTTTCACTAAGAAACACGATGGGGTCAGGGTCTCACTTCAGCCTTTTTTCCAGAGGAAAATGTAATCCCTTTCAGCAAAGTATGTGCCGTGATAAAATGAAATCATTGGCTCCTGTCCACTAAATATTCTGTTTGCTTTAGATACAGTACGCTGGTGGGCCTGTCTACTGTCTCGATCTTCTCGGCTTCAAGGTTGCCTTGCTGGCTTCATATCTGCGCATTGGCGGGGTCGTTGCTCTATATCGAAAAATAGTAATCTGTACCATCGCCATTTGCGTCGTTAATCAATTGATCTTCACGTTCATCATGTCGATGTCCTGCACACCAGTAAGCCTCCTCTGATTAGATCAGCCTTTTTAGAGAACATGTTTTTCATAACAGTATCACACAGATTGCAAAACAATGGGATAGCTCGCTTGAAGGTCATTGTATCGACACAATACCGTTCTACTTTTGCTTGGCAGGCATAAGCATAGGCCTGGACATAGTAATTATCGCACTCCCTCTGCCAGTCCTCTGGAGACTGCAGCTTAGGACCAAGCAGAAACTTCTGCTCATCTGTTTGTTTGCTCTCGGCTTCTTCGTGACGGTGATTCAGGTCATCCGTATATTCACTATTAAGGCCTTAAAGACCTACACGGACAGCAAAAGTATCGTGATCTGGTCTTGTGTGGAGGTCAGCCTAGGTGTAAGTCAAATCTTGAAATGTTACGCGTTTTCTTCGAGCTCACCGAGTACTAACAACATTTGAAACCGAAAAGGTCGTTGTTTCCTGCATTCCAACTTACGGGCCTTTATTCAAATCTCGTGCATCCACGGACAAATCATACCAAACTCCGAACACAGGGCGTTCCTATCCTCTTGGCACTCTTCAGAACGAGGCTACGACTGGACTAGCAACTGGCAGTTCGCGCAGGAGGAGCGACTTCAAGCAGCTATGGGAATCAGAAGGACGACAAACAACAGTGGTTGAGTCATGTAGAGATGGCATACCGGATGACGCTGATAGCCAGAAGCATATGCTGCCCGAAGCTGAAAACCTAGAAGTCTATGTGACCTCAGAATTTACAATAAAGTCAGCCGCTGCTTTTTGAAATTATGTGTCAACAGCTCCTGTTAAACTTACGTGCAAGTTTGAATCACGAACCATATTCCCCATCATCACTTCTATGTATCCAACTTAGAGCATCTAGGGGCCGTACAACTTACAATATTCTCGGGATGCTGAGTAAAGGTTATCCCACTCAGGAGCGGCGTCCGACATGTCAAAATTTCTGCTTTTCAGGGATTTTACTTTTGGCAGACTGCTAGGGTACACGGGCGTCGGAGTAAAGATTCTGAGATAGGGGTGATTTTGTTGTTCGGACCTCAACCAATCACTTGACGTGGCCCGAGCCTAGGGACCATGCTCCTCGAGTGTGGACGCCGTAGAATATCTTGACATGGCGTTGTAGTGGCATGCTTTTTGGCGTGCTTGGGTCCAGCTGCATGCTGAGCAGGTATTTTCTGATACCATTTGTATGGATGAGTGTTCGAATGGTGGGAGCTGGCCCGTAGGTTTTTGTACTTTGGGTAACATCGTGGCCCCTTCATGCGGCTCAAAGAGCGGTCTGGTTTTATGCAATAACGCTTCGAGATGTGTCAGAAAAAGTATGCACCTTGGTTGACGTATGCATTGAGCAAATAATATTCTCAATCGAGTCGCTGGAATTCAGGCTCTAAAACACATCGAAAATTATTCAGGGACTTATCGCAAAACAAGGAACTCGAAAGTAAATCTCGAATATTATTCTTGGTCTAGTCAATATGAGACCAGCCTATTTATGACTCCATCTATTCCTGTCCTAAAACAAAAGAAAACATCCATCACCGCTAAACAAAAGAAGGTCGACATTTGCATGCCTTAGTTAGGGATGCAGACGCCGGCGTTCCACTCAGTGGCACCAACACATTGCCAGCTATCACAGCAGGGGTTACTGGATGTGCAGGCAACATCGTAGTCTGGTGAATGTTAGCGACTATCCAAATTTGGAATTATAATACACATACTGGCGACGCAGGTGCGCTTCTCAAAGTCAGAGGAGGCGGAGGCAACGGCAGCCAGGGTAGCAATGACAATGGTGATGAACTGCATTTTGATGGTTGAAGTGGGTGATCGAAGGATCGGTTGATTCTTTGAGTCTTGGATGGTAGATTTGTAAATTGATGGATGGTTAATGTTCAATTATCGAGGAAAGATCAAGCTATTTATCTCTAAGCCAAGCCCTACAGGGTCTGATAAGTCCATATTTGATTGCCTGTATGAATACAAATTGAGCATTCCCAAATTGAACCTGAGATGTCTGGTCGTCGCTTATTTACGCGATTTGGATATGATTGTCGTTTTTTATTTTATTTATTTATTTATTCATTCCTCAGGCTTTTCACGACCTTTGGTCGTATGTAGCCCCCTAGCTAGTGTGCGCTGCACCGTCCACTATGTACGTATGATAATATAAACACCGCTACGTGATCGATTCACCCTTTCTTCCTTTTCATCCTTCTGGAGCCAGCCGGCCCGTTTTCATTGCAAATGCGACGACGGCCTTGACAACTTTGACGTCGGGTTTCCATAATCTACCATTTAGTTCACTCGTATCCACTGCCATGTCAGGTTTACCTCCTAGCATATGTGACAGACCACCGAAGCTCGAGCCCGCAGCTTCAATTACTACGCGACGATGTTCATTCCACCGTGTACAGCGGAGGAGGAAATGTTGGACTGTTTCACGCTCGACACCACACTCGCACATATCACTGTCGGCCTTGCCGACCCGGTAGAGATATCCATTGAGTCGGGCATGTCCCGTGCGGAGTTGAGCGAGCATCGAGGCTTTTTCCCGATCCAGGCTATCATATAGTATTCTCGTATGGGGTCCCGGGAGAGCCGAATCTAGCTGGCGTGTAAACTGACCAGTGGTCGACAGTCGGAAATGACCCTTCCGGTGCTGATTAGTATTCGCCCGAGCCCATCGCAGCGCCGACGCGCGGAGCTGGACTCGCGCCCAGGGCGGGGCAAGAACTTCACTGTTCACTTCTGTGGCCTTGCGTGCGAGGGCATGTGCTCGCGTAGTACTCTCCTGGTCTTCATCAGTAGGGGGCTTCAGACTGACCTTGACCCCCGCCTCCGTCAGCTGGCGGATTGTTTCCGTGATCTGTACGATGAGAGCCTGGCCACTCTGGAGATGGGGTTTCGCGAGAGAGAGTAGCACGGCAGGGTGGTTCACAACGACCGTCACGTCTAGTTTCCACGGCGATATCGGGATTCGAGGGAGTGCCGCGCTGACGTACGAGACAGCCTCGAACACTACCCCCAGCTGTGCGTAGGGGGCATTGAGCGCGTCATCACTGCCGACCGTCCGGCTCGACGAGGTTACGTCGACGTGGCTCACGCGAACCACCAGCCCTGTTCCGACCAGCCCGTTGCGGACGCTAACGCTGGTGAACAACCAGAGGCGGGCGCGGCCGGCCTCGTGTAGTTCCGGCATGTCAGACCCCACGAAGGTAATCAACTCCCCAAGAGACCGCTGCCACGGATCTAGAGGGAATGGTCGGATAACCTCCATGTCGGACAGGCATTGTGGTCCGTGCTTCGCCAGCGTTTTGAACGGTGACCGATGACTCTCACTCTGCATGGCGGCTGCCGCTCGACAGCCCCAAAAGGGGTGGTCCGGTGGTAGGGTGTGGCAGACAATCCAATGCTTCAAAATGCGTGCGCGAAGACGTACGACCGTCGGTTCAATGCCCGCCTCCGCCTCAGCAATGGCGAGGGCCGTGCTGCGGGAGACGCCCACGATGGCCTGCGACGCGACACGCTGGACGGTCTCCAACGGCCGTATGATGCCCGCCGCGATGGTCGCATCCGGTCGTAGAGGGCACCATACCGATGCCGCATAGTCAATCTTTGATGCGACTGTGGAGGTGAACAGCTGGCGAGCAACCGAAGGAGGTAGCCCGCGCAGTCGTCTCAGCGCCAGAACGGCTTTCATTCCTTTGTTCGCGGCCTTGCCGATGTGTGACTTGAACCGTAAGTCTTGATCGAGTATCACGCCGAGAATCTTGACCTCGGACGCTGGGGCGACTATCGCTCCATTCACGTGTAACGGGAGCGCGGGGAGTGGGCGAAGCCGGGGGTTCCTCGCAAAGTGGATGAGGGATGTTTTCTCCGCCTCAAACACCGCGCCTGACTGCGCCGCCCATTCTAGTGCGTGTGGGGTGACCTGCCGCTGCAATACGGCCGTGTTCTCGTCGGCCGATGAACCCACCGTCCAACGGGTGTAATCGTCGACGAAAGCGATCGCTCCCGTTCTTTTAGTAATGGGGACATCCACCAGATTTGCATTCAAAAACAGGAAGAGGACAGGAGAGAGTGGTGAGCCTTGCGGGAGGCCCGCGTGCTCGATGGCCATCTCCTCGGAATGATACATGTTCACGACGATTGATGCTCGCCGCGAGGAGCAAAAGCTTTCAACCCATCGGATCAAGACCTCCGGAATTCGCCTTTCCCGTAGCCTTCGCAGTAACACACCCGTGTGTACCCCATTATAGGCCCCCTTCACATCAAAGCTCACCAGGCTGAGGACCTTCCCTTCGCGCCACGCATCGTGTATCTTTTCCACTAGAAGGTTGAGCGCCTGTTCGCAGGATCGCCTACGGCGGGCGCCGAAATGGTTTGCGGGTAGGAGTTGGTGTTTCTCAACCAGAGCGGAGATTCTGTTGGCGATGACTGCTTCTAGTACCTTTCCAAGCGTGGTCAACAGCGAGATGGGACGGTATGACTTCGGCAGCGATGGGTCACGTCCGCCTTTGGGGATCACCACGATCTTGGCCACCTTCCAGGCGCTAGGAAAGTAGCTCAATCGGAGTGACGCTTGGAAGATCTCGACGATCCAGTGTTTCACGGTGGGCCACACCTGTTGCCACACCACCACCGGCAGCCCGTCCGGTCCGGGGCCAAGAGACATAAAGTAGCTTCGGCAGGCCTACTTGCATAGACCACTACCCCAGTTTTTCACCCAATAAACGAGGTTTCTGGACTCTTGAGGTGGACAAAGCCTCTCACCCTGGGTGTCTCTCAGTTTGCTCCTTAAGCACACATCACGGGCTGTTCAGCTAGGACGACACCGCTTCAACCGATCAAGATCGGTTTCAAGCCCTCAGTGCGAGTGAGGTAGTTGAGTCCCGGCTCTTTGTGCACCGACACGCGCATCCGTCCTCTCGGGCTATACAGACAGTCTCTTGACAGGCCCTGACCCTGTCGCAGTGGCTGCCATTGTACACCACGCCCCGCGAGAGCTTGAACCCTCGTTTCGCGTTACCTGGAAAGGTCTCCCCCCGCCAGGCCGACCGTGTCTTGCAGAAAGCCCTCATATACGCTCCGTCCGGCAGTGTACGTCGGTCACTTTCCACTAACCAAGCTTGTTCCCCGATGTCTGAGCAGGATCGATGGTGTGCCCGTGGCGACGCCTTAACGAGGACCATCGTTTGCCACCAGCCAAATACCAATTCCTTCCAGATGCCCGTGTATCTCCCAGGAGGATGCCCGTGTCTCGGTGGTGTCCGTGTCAAGAAGAGGCGCCGCATCAAAGGTTGCCCGTGGCTGGGCCTTAACGAGGTCTGGGAGGCGGCGTCTTCAAGCCTTAACGAGTTCGAGTCTTAACGAGGCCCCCTAGGCCTTGAACGAGGTCTGTCCGATATTAGCTTGACTGCCTGTGTCACCGGTTCACTACCGCCTCGCCGCATCTCGCACGATGCGATCCCAGGCCGTATGCAAGCTCAGGGGTGTCTTGTCTTCTTTCTAGGGCGACACCACTTTCACTGGTAATGCAAGAACAGCTTTTGGGCCCGAATGCGAGTCGGGTAAAAAGAAGTCGGATGGTTTTCGTATCCCGTTGTCCCCTGATTTTGGTGTGGTTGTGCGGTCGCTTCCCGCACCGGGCCGGACCGCACAACCACGGCGGATTCAATTTGGTTCTCCCCAACGAGGATTAACACCGGACACCGCGAGAAGGTATGAATCCATTGTCCCAACAGCCTGGCTAGGACTGCTGCCCAGTGCGGAGGCTGCTGTTGATCCCACGCGACGGCAAAGGCGGTGAGGTCGTCCCAGACGCGGGGGCCGCATTGTTTACGCGACGTTCCACAGAGTTGGTCCGCACATGACACTGGCCTTTGCAATAAGTCAGTCGATATCAGATCGAGAAGATCTCCTCACACTTCCTCATACTCGACTTGAATTGATACTCGGCTCGTTCTGGTGGCTTCCGGCTGATAATACAGCCCATGGATTGGTGGCTCTGCCGGTCTCAAGTTTGAGTCAGTCAATGCTCACTCTAGTCGACTCTTGAAGATCGCTTCGGATCTCTCTCTCTCATAAGTGATATCACAGCTGTAGCCGACTGAAACGACCTTGGAGCATACCTCGAGCAGATGTATCTGATTTCCTCTCGGTTCCCGGCCGACTTCCACGAACCACTCCCACGAGCCCATCCCCACATATCAATGCTCACGAGCCCACTCCCACAAGCCCACTCCCACAAGGCCGACCGAGTCCAACCATTCCACTGACCTAAGCCAGACATCCATAGCGGTCAGTCCTTCGTGAACATGTTGCTCAGCATGCCCTTTCGTTTGAGAAACCGGCAACGCGTACTTCCACATGAACTGCATATCGGAACAAGGCAGTCAAACGCCTGCGGCGGTGATGGCGTGCTTTGGGTTTCGCACGGAGGCACATTCTGCTAGGCACAACTTAGCAAATACATCAGAAAAGGAAATCTTGACTCACGTTTTCCGATGATTGATCAGCGTCTTGACGGGCGATCGAAAATTGGATGACGGTGCAGTATTCAAATTGAATAAACTCATTTTGGCACTGCCCAATCAGCAGGTGACCTTTTGGAAAGTCTGGCAAAAGAGCCAATGCTCAACATTTGGGCTTAAAGGCAGACGATGTTTGTATCCTCGCCCCAGATCCCCGCCTCAATCTACACGATGAGGACTGCTCATTTTGGGGAGCGGGAATACCAAAGGCTCCAGGAGCGTATGGGATATGATTTGGTCACCCTTAATCATCCGGTCACCCGTGTGTACTGTAGTGTGAGGGTGGTCTTATAATTGGCATCTCGGCTGAAAGTATCAAGTTGTCGGGATTGGCGAGGGACACTCGGTGTCGGAATTTGACGTTGAGGCGCCAGGTGAATTGCCATTCCTCCGCGGTCGATCTTATGCTTTCAAGCGCGCATGCCAATGTCGAGACGACATACCCGTCACACGGTATGCTCAACTGAGGGGCCCATCTTCTCGCCATAATGGGTTGGCCGCACTACCGGGATCATCTGGGAGATTGCCGGAACGAGCGTCCTGTAGTCACGCCCCTCGCCGAGTAGTCTGATACCAAGCACGTTCGTCTGGTACTGCTCGTCCACGTCGGTTCAGGGTGTTCGTGGGATGAGAGGCGGGCCGTTGGATCAATTCGAGCGTTTGCACCATGTGCCGTCGAGATGTTCCACACTTGACAAGTCATCCTTCAAAAGATGTTAGTATACCTCCGTCGATATGGGGCCACTCACAATCCATCATCCTCGACCTCACAACTCTTCAGCCGGTACACATATTGCTCCACCATACCCCTTTGTCCATAGCGGAGTGTGTTTGTAGACTTGTCTGGCACACTGGTTGAATTGTCACCTCTCGCGAAATATTGGCGGCGTGTGCCTTGATACAAGATGTGCTGGGAGGTGGTAGTCTATCGCAACCTGAAGCCTTGATCATTCGCCCAAGGTGTGCCTGGAAGCATGTCCTACTGGGCACGGGATTAGTGACTGGACCAGGAAACGACTTCTGACTCACCTTTCTAGGCACCGGGCTGACAGCTGAACCATCTTGGTCGTATTGACCTGAGGTGGTTGACTATGAATCGGGCTGGTCGCAAGTCTGGTGTCCAGCGCAGTCTGCAATGGCATTAGGCTGGCCGGGACAGCTGCACAAGACAACTTGCTCGTGCTGTCATAATTGAAGAATCTAAGAGAGTCGAAGTTTGGTTGGGCTTGGTGGCCAGGCTCATAGGTGTCATACATGCGAGATGTGGGGATGCGGTTGAGACTTGTGACCCTGGCCCTAGCTGATGTACACGAGTGATGGCGAATCATCAATGGGCAACGGAGCTGGATGACTTCGTCCACCGGGAGGTGTATGGTCTGTATCAGTGAGTAACGAGCACCGGCACCAAAGACCAAAGGCAAGGAACTTATCTTGGGCAGGGGCCTGTTAAAACAGAAAGGAGCCTTTCGCATAAATGCAATGCTCAAGCTGCGGGCTCGCAGACGCATCATCATTCCCATCTCACGAGCGGCGGTGACGAGCGCTGTATCAACGAATTTGCCCACAACCGATTCTGGTACACCATGCAAGAGGGTTCGAATGATGTTTTTGCCCAATGGTAGCATCCGGTCGTGAATGGCAACATGTGCACGGTGGATAAAGATGTTCGATGCGCTGTGGAGGCAGAAAATGGCAAGCTACAAATGGAGACGTTTCGCGCAGTTGTCGGAGGCAGGATGGACGCAATGCTTGGGCAATTGTGACGTAAAGCATTTCTTGTCTCAGGAATTGACCAAGGGTCGCTTCATTCATTTATCGCCTGACTGCAGGGAGTTGGCGCTGTTGCTGGTCCTGCAAAATGCGATGAACGATATGCCTGCGATGCGCTGTTCCAAGACAGTCGCATGTCTCTCTGAAAGAATCACTGTCGTCGAAAGCGATGGCTCTCCATCATTGGTGATCAGGGCTTCCACCAGATTTGACAGGAGCAGAGGAAAGCGACCGCAGACAGCGACAAGCCCTGTGGCAGATCTGAATGCTCCATGGTCATCTTCTTGGACTGGTCCATGGCGATCGACGTCTGTCCCCAAAAAGCAAAATCTGTGCATCATCGGATAGACCTCCCCCATGCGTCTTACTCGCACTTTCCGCAGTTGAGAAACCCGGACTCGCCGTGAAAGTGTTCTTCCATACCCAAGCCTATCAGACTAAGGCTTCATCACATCACCAATCGTCGTGTGTTGTCGGTTGGTATATTGGTTGCATGGCTGTCTCAACTTTCCAAGGATGTGGAGTAGGAGCTGATTTTCTCGCTCGGCATTTGCGGGTGAGGCGAAAGAGTGGAGGGATCGGGCAATCCTGATTCACGTCGACTTCCACACTTCGAAACGGTCTCCAAAGCGAGATACATCGCCTCATGGCAAAGGTGGCGACGATGCAAGACGCGTGCGAGGCTCGTTGAGTTGTACATCATGTCTCGCAGCGTCTTGGCTAGTGGCCCTGCAAGATAGTCAGCATGTGTCCGATCAAATGAGAGTTCACTTACAGTCTTTAAATTTCCTTTTCATCCTGCATCAACGACACATGTTAGTGCCAAGATAGCGCAGCCATCATCTTGCGGGGACAAGTCTTATCTCCAATTCAACCCAAAGCATCATCTGCCTTGCAGTTCCATGCGGTCGGTTTGGTCCATGTGCCCTCCAGCTAAGATCATGGCTGACCAACAATGGGTGGTGATGGGGCAGAAGCAACGAGCAGACGTACTGTACCTATCCAACGGATGTCCAGCCGTACCAGAGCTGTGGCCGCGATGAAGTGCACAAGTAGCCTTCTTTGACAAACTATCAGAACATTGAACCATTCGAGATAACGGCGACTTGTGCATGGGAAGGGCTCAAGGATGGCGGTGTTCAATACTCGGAGGTCTCGCCGATGATCTCGCTGGAGGCACTGTTTGACAAGCAGATGACATCAGCGGAACCAAAGTTGGTCTCATGAGGATTGTTATCGGTGTGACTGGCAGGTAGTTGTATAACCTTAGTGTGCTGAATTGGGGCTATCGTATAGACCTGGCTGGTCGTGGGAGTCTCAGCGCTGGCCGACAGGTATGGGGCTGATAAAGGGACTTACCTGCAGGATGCCTCACTTTCTTTCTTGTGGTCAAGAAGCTAGTCAGGAGTCACATTGTTAGCTCCACTCGACAAGCCACATGGATACAGCACTCGCCAAAGGATTGTGGCCAGTCAATATTCATGGTCTGACTGGCAGTCACGAAGATGGGTACAGTGGAGTGAACCACCAGTGGGTAGAGAGAGGCAGTGACTTGGTGGCTTGGGTGGCCACCATGGGTATGAGTAAGAGCAGGAGTTTGGGGTCAAAGATGAGGGGACTCATGAGTCTGCTGCAGAAAGGTATCTTGGTTTCGGCTCGAGGGAACCCTTCAGATACAGTCAGGAAGAGGATGTTTCGACCGAGAACCGAAGGAGAAGGCCATATTTATAGGTTTCTTGACTGGTCTTGTTACCGCCTGCTTTGTATTGCCGCGGTGAATTTTCATGTCTGTCGCTTTTTGGGGGGCATTGCTTTCGGGGGCATCGAAGCTGCCTGTGCAAAGCAGGGCATGTTGAACCGCCGTTTACTGAGGTGGTAGGTTAGGTAAAAATCAACAACAGGCCGGTGAAAAGTGAACGGTCCTCTTAAGGGTGGATCGTGCCCTCAAGTCATTTTCTGAAATTATAAAATAATGATAATATTTCATCAAAGAATTTTTTTTTTATCTTTTATTCAATTTTTTTGTCTGAAGAGCGTTGATCAACATTCAACCTTGTCTCAACGACCGTACTTTCAATACTTGAAAACGATGGGCAGCGATTAATGATCAACTGCGACAGCATGCGCTTCTATCACCATTATCTGGACTTCGGCATTGGCTGTTGATTCAAAACAGAGTCCGACGATTATGCTGTGTTCTGAGAAAGTCGCCTTGTTGATGATCGAATTATCAGGGTCTAAGCCATCGCCCACTCGAAAGATTTCCACTGAGTGTACTGCAGCCTTGCCACATTGGCTGTATTACTATGGCTTTTACTTTGACCTGTCCGGGACAACACACGCCGATGATTGACACCATAAGCCGGACTTCAGCCAACGCTAGCCGTCGGATCCAGAGCCTTTCAACATGAGATTCCAGATATACCGATCTTAACGGGTCGAGAGGCCCCCAATGAACTCAATTTAATTTCTTGTACTTGTCTATGCTGCTTTTCTGGACTGATATTATCAGAATGTAGAAATGGATGTGCACACTATCCATTACTACAGACGTGGCGATCAAAAATTAGAGTTGTTTTGAATGTATTATGACAAGACAGAATAAACAGAGCCAGCCTGAATCCAAAAAGCGCTAGGGACGCAAATATTTCCCAGGTGCATTGAGAAGCTTTCTGAAGTACTTGGTCTCTCTCACATGGAAAGTCGAGCTGTCCGAGTCCCCAGCAAACCTAAGCCACTGCGGATTCTCGTATTTCAATTCCGTGTTTGCACGAGGAGGTGACTGCAGGTATATTGGGGGTTGCGACAATGCTTCCCCAGCACAGGCAATTTCAAAAAGGGACGGATCAAAAAGGAAGGCGGTCCTCCGAGGCTCATAGCTACTTGATGCTAGGTGAGGGAAATTTGATAGCGTATGGTCACTCCTATTTCCAGCAGCCACTGAAGGGACTGGTCAGGCAAAGTGACGAATGCCAAAGAGAGTCTCTGCAAATCACTTGTCTCCAAGTCGGTCCATTGATCCCCGTATAAATTTTCGTCGAGCTTAGATTCACACCAAGGAAAAAACGCCTGGGGGCATAAATTAGATGATGTTCGCGAAATTCGGCTGGGACGACTTACGCAGCCGAAGCATATAAATTTCTCCACGGCCAGGTCCAGCGGAGGCAGTTCCACACAATCATAGATTTTTCTAGTCATTTTACCTTCAACACTTGATGCAGCGGTGATCTGTGATAGGAGAGTAGGTGAAAGGACGATGAATTTATAGTAGTTTCAAGTGTCAAGATAAAATTGATGAGGAAGAGTAAGGCCTAGCGTACAAAGCAAAATAGAGACTTGGAGAACACTCCGAATCGGTTCCCAGACCCATGAACCCCCATCCCATTTACGGTAGGGTTGGTTTCAGGATCATCTTGACCGGTCCTGGGAGCTGTAGCCCTCCTAGGACGCTGGCTCACGATCCCAGGATCAAATTTGTCTGTTTGAGAATCCATTTGGGGCGGGCAATTTGCATTCGTCTAAGCCCTGGCCACTGCGCATTCTTGTTGCGGGTCTATATAGCGGCTTTAAAAGCCTCTGGCACACTCCTAGTGCCATTGGTGGGGCCCTGAGCTACCCAGACAATACGGCTCGATGTATTATCTGCTCGGCGTTTCTAAATAAAGGTGGCCAAGTTGCCTACGAGATATTTAATTGCTTTGAGACCCCTTGGAGAGGTTTACAATCTCTACATCATTTTCCTTCAAACATTTCAGCCCAGCGGACATCAGCTCAGAGCCATGACTTCACAGAGCGCGGAGACCGATTATTCTTTCGCTGCCTTTGCCCCTCCAGACAAGTATCGATTCACGCACAGCCACTGGGTACCGCCGAACATGAGGCCTTCCGGCCCCAGTCACCGTGAGAATATTTTTGGGGAGATCAAGCAAGAATATGAACATTTGAGTCAAACAAATAAGACCTTGACGGACACCCTACAACAGCTGCGCCAGGAAAACAACCAACTTTTTCAAATACTGCAGCTGCAGGACAAATACCTTCAAGCAGCTCAGCAACGCATAGAGGAGCTCAAGCAAGAGGCCGATCAATCGAAGAACATTGCTGTCTGGATGCAGAATTGGGAAGGTCGTTTGACAGCATGCGAAAAACATATCCCCATGTTTCCACAACCATTCAGCGAAAACATCCAACCCACGCTAGGATCTAGCGCCGGTGTTCACGCAGAACAGCAAAGGCATGTCCCCCGTCTTAGGCGATCGGGTCGGTCAACGAGCTGGAAGGTGGAACATCCGCAAAGTCAGCAACCGCCAAAACAAGTCCAGCAACTATCAATGGAGAAAATGCCACAGACGGCGCCCTATCAACATGGCCGACGGGGTTGAGTTGTTTTTTTGCATAAAATGGATCGCTCAATGTTGCGTTTTCTGGCTCATATACGGTAGGCCCTGGCGATATGATGGAAGTTGTTGATTTCATTTTGTTGTTTCCGCGATGTTTGGTTGTATAATTCGTCATCTGGATGTACTTGGACCATTTACTAGATTGTATAATCGAAATTTCATCATGTTTGTACCTATCAACTGTTTGCTAGCCTTCTGATGATCGCACCGAAAGAATGTTTTATAAGAAGGGTACTGAAGGGAAGGCACCGTCAATTCATCCTGATGCAGGAAGGCAGAGATTAGGCATACGTGGTTGCGTGAGTGTTTGGTCGCTGACCAAAAATCGTGCCTGTTTGGCCTGATAGGCTTGTGGTAAAACCTAAGCAACTGCACCCCCTGACAAGGACATGTGGCTCAAAGCCGAATCGTTCCCCTCACTAGAATCCGCCTTCGATGATTTTCTGCCGGACCCACCTCTGGTGATTGGAACTCGGGCCCCCAACAGCAAGCGGATCACCTTGCCAGGATCGTCTGTTATCGACCAACGTTTCTCCTGAAAGCCGCTTAGTCTGTTCCCGTGTGTTACGCGTGTCTGACAAGGGAGCGGGTAACCAAGCGGGCTCGGAGCCTGTACCACTCTCGGCTGAAGTTGTTGCGGATGTTGCAGGGTCAAACGGATCATCGTCTGTCCACCACGGGCAGGAAGGTTCAAGATCCAGGTCAATCAGCCGGAGATGACCACTCGCTCTGGTCTGGACGATATGATGTACAGCTGCACGTATTGGATTGCTTGCGCATACTGGGATCAGTTAGCGTTGGCGTAATCTCACAGGGTACCTGCTGAAGGACTTTTACCCGAAACCGCGGTCGCTCCGCTTGTACTGTCCAGCAGGTGCGCCAAATCCTTGGCAATGTTGATAGCTTCAAAATGGTACTTCAAACGCGTGCGGTTGCGATAACGAAGTTGATCCACTGGCCGAGCACCTAGGATGTGTGTGGTAAATTGCAGGATCTGCTTTTAAGTTAGCCCCACTTCTTGTATGATCAGCACGAAGGGCTTCACTCACATCGAAACCCCGGTCATCTCGATGGCCATGCTCCGGACAATCGTCTCGGTCAAACATCCGGTCGAGTTCAAGGATCTGCGAGATCTCATCCCCAACCCAGTGGGGATGGTCTATTTTGGTCAGCACAACAACGCAGAGCATCTGCAACAGGGAAACACGTACTGAAATCCTTGAGTTCAACTTGCCACATCACTTCTAGCCGTCGCACTGTGTTCCTCCGGCTTCGGCTTTCTTGAACGAGATGCCGCATGAACGGCAGCGCGCGGAAGAGTCCAATACCTTCCAGTACAAGAATGACGGTTCCGTACTGGCCCAGAGGAGGCGAGTGTCCGTAGGGACCCAGCATGCATACCGGAAAGTGGATTGTCGCTTGCGCACGATCCACAGCTCGTGCGATTCTTTTCGTCATGCCCAGCCGAGGCCGAGTGACTATTCGTACTACGCGAGTTGTTCGTGCTTCTGATGTGGTTTGCACGGTGTCCACCGAAGCAACATAGAATGCAGGAAGCTGCAAGCATGCTCTGAATCCCCAGTGTGGTGCCCAGAGTTGTACATACTGCCCCGGCCGAGCCACCCACTCCACCGGCACCACAATATCAAGCCATAAAAGCCGGTTCGAAGTCCGCGCGAGGGCTTGTCTAGAGGTGATACGCCACGATCTGTGGTGCCACATGGTATGAAGACACGTCCCGGCACCCCATGCAAGTCCAGCGCAAATACCTCCTAGTAGTACCCAGCGGTAGGGAGACCCCCGGTCGATCAAATGATAAAAAAGAGCGCCGGTTGCAATTGAGGCAAGGATATGGTGGACTTTGAGACCGAGTTGGGGCCACCGTCGAAGGATTGTAGCGAGCGTCCAAGGGAAGATCGAGACGAGACTGCATCCGGCCTGTGCAATGTGAGTCACTTTAGTCAGAAACACCGCGAGAAATATAGGAGAGCTGCCGTTCTGTGGCGCGTTTCACGTACCAGAAGTGGAATGATGAGGGAAGTTCCAAGAGCAGTATTCCCAGGAACTGTGCCCACGACAGACC